CGTTTCCAGTTCTATCTATAGCGATGCTATAGAACTGTAAACACTACTCCTTTGTCTTCCGCAAATCAACGCAAAACCCAAACAAACTGGTACAACAGAATCCTTAACATGTAGCCGTCGCATAATATTCGGCAAAAAGGATGCAATCCGAGGGGTAAATACTCGATCTCGTTTACAATATATCCACGCTGTTCCTTTAAAAGAAGATTAGACTGCTGCATCTGGGATTTTTTCCCACAGTATCAACGGGGGCAAGGAAATTAATCACATTACCTATAATTCACACATGGAGCAGACATGACAATAGCCATGGCTTTGGGCAACGCTGCGCCTTGGTCTGCGTGAATGAAATTTCATGTTGCAATGGTTCTAACAAATTTGGCTGCAGGATATGAACACATCACTCCCACAACTATGATTACTTTGCTGTTTATACTTCATAGACTGTTTGTGGTGCTAATGAATGATTGCGTGTTTCTGTGAACTAGTAGGACTACATTTGTACTGGAAAAAAATTAAATTCATCTACAGGCGATTGCTCAAGCGTGTCGGGTTTGATGGGGTTAGGCTGGAAACATCTCTACACACTGAGAAATAAATGGGTTGCCAGCCATCTACCTTAAGGGAACCAGACACATATTAGTCGAAACGATTATCAGACTAAAGTACGATATTTCTTGGGAAAAGGACACTTTCTTGATCGAAATGCTATAAGCATCACAAACACTGTTGCGTTTCTAGAAAATGTTTGGCTTGTCAAAAATATCTTGAACAGACACTGGCTTCACGTCATCATTGACATGAAAATGCTATGTTCAAGCGAATTATTCAATCCTGTGTTGTTTTTGTTCACATTTGGTTTACGAGGACACTGTACGTCCTCAAGTTGTATGTCTTCAAAAGTCGTATGTCCGGAATAATATCTATGCACACTTTCAAATAGCACTGTAAAGTGGTCTCTGTGTGTTATTTGCTCTTACAAAATTTCGTAACTTCTCGAGGGCCACTAGAACTGAGTCGCAAAAACCAATGCTTTCGCTCAGAATAGATGACCCGGCATTGCGGATCCAGGTATACTTACTATTTGTAGGAAATAAAGCGACAAACTGAATCGAGCCCTGTTCTTAATATACACCATACTTTAAAGGTCAAGCGAACCAGAGTCCAACAAATTAAGCTATCAAAGTAAGCACACTATTAATTCAACCCCGAAAAATCCAATATCTGCACTCGCTCCAAGTATAATTTTCGCTCAAGTACATGCGAAGGTCACAGTTTTCATGGTTAAGCCTTGGCGCGTTCACCGCCATTTTTTTTAGGTTGGTCACTATAATCACATAATACATATATGTAGAAAGATTCACGCTGTCGCACAACAGTGGAAATGCTGGGAATATTTTAACTGCTTATAAGGGCCATATTGCTTTTAAGATCAAACAATGAGCTAAAACGGCTTGACTGTCAAATGGGTAAACATGGGTCCTGGGTTTTCAAATACCACGCACCTTTCTTATAATAACAATCTTTTAAATGAAAGAAAAGGAAAGACCAAATAGCTGAATGACCCCGCGAAGCTCATTGTTCCAAAGATAACATCTCCTTCATCCTGACGTGTGTCTGTTTATCTCGTTTTTCTGCAGCGAATCGAAAAACCACGTTATCCTAAAATGAATTTATTTTACAGCAAATAGGCCTACATAACTAATATTTTACAAGAGATGGTTTTCAGCCAGGTACTGTAGAAGTGTTTATTTTCGAGCTGCACACACTAGTGGATTAAGTTCTGTATTACCGCATAAGGTTTCAATAATTTTCAAGACGGTGGCTGCATGCATGGAAAGGGTCTTAACTTCTTTAAATGGATTCTACCTGTGGTGCTTTACTCCAGAAAAAATACAACTGACTATTTTGTGGATTTAGCTAATCGCCATGATGCCTGTTTTAACTTCTTGTTGTTTTGAATAACGATTTCACAAGTGTATAGACCAGAATGACAACTCGCGTTTACAATGACAACTCGCGTTTACAATGACAACTCGCGTTTACAATGACAATTCGCGTTTACAATGACAATTCGCGTTTACAATGACAACTTGCGTTTACAATGACAACTCGCGTTTACAATGACAACTTGCGTTTACAATCTACGCAGGACTGTCCTTTACGTTTTTATTTATCGTCCTATGTGATTACGTCAAGTGAGAAACTGAGATATTATTAAAGTTTAGATGTAACTCGTCTGTTTCGATGGACTTTATTAAATCACGTTCCTTTGGACAACAGAGAGGAACAATAAACCTGTTTTGCACGTCTCTACGATTAATTGTGTAACGTTCAAGACGGGGTAATCAAAAGCAGCAGAGTTGATTTGGGCGGCGATAAATCTGTGCTGCTCATGTGGGCTGGAGCAGTAATTTCAATTTAATAAGCAACTAGAAACGAACTACAAATTAATTAGTTATTTTTTTTTTGTTTAAAGATTTAGAAGAGGAAAACAGACATGCCGCTTTTATAATGTCTCGTTTTTTCCATGTTCTTACTCTAAGAGACATGACATTTCTTTATCTTCACTTTGTTTTCTTTTGAAGTACTTTGATTTTGGCATTCGGCTGAGCGTTTTCCTGTATGTTTGCGTGGGGTGTGCACTATACTTGCCAGACGGAAGTTACGAAACAATATCTTCCTGAGGGTAATTCCAGCAAGTGCCTCTGCCTCAGTTCGATTTTTGTCAGTTGTGTCGTGGTTTCGTCTGCATTTCAAACAGCAGTGATCAGCAATTATACCCAACTAATGAGCTGCCTTGCAGCCGGCCAGATGCAACAACCGAGGTATTGATCGACCGCCAAAGACAAAGAAAGTTAGGCCACCCTGCGTAGCTAATGATGGTAAGCTGCCTTATCATTAGTGAAATAGCTGGCTGCATCGTCGAGGTCATACTGGCATGTCGTGGAATAAAAGGCAAATGACCTTATCACAAGAAGACAGTTGATATTGCGCCCCTTTATGAAAAAATATAAATGGCAGGCATACAATGAGTGCATGCCGCTGTGGCGTATCTATTTATGCACGGCACGCTGGGTGAGAAATGACCTACTCGGCCCTAACTGAAAATTTTCACGTTTTAATTGACTGTGGCTCTGAAATCTGATAACGAAGAAAATACGCAAAAAAAAATTGTTTAGGTCATAAATTTCAACTCAAAGATTTATGGTTTCCACGGCAAAGACAATGATGATGTTTAAACCTGCATGCACAAATGGAAATGAAATACCACATATATAAGGAAAACGATCAGGCTTCGTATTTGTACCGAAATTCTTTTCATCAGCGAGCAACGGCAGTCCTTGGGCTGTAATTTTATTCACCCCTGAAACCAAGTATCAGGGATTCGTTAAGCAGAAAATATCGTTTAGCAAGTTCAGTGTTTTCTTTCTGTCTTTCTCAGGTTTGATAAGAAATTAGTACATTTTGCATTTGGCAAATCAGGCAACGAGAATACACGTGCTAGAAAAGGCACGCGCCAATAAGGCCCCTTGACATAATAATAACCAGTGCTGTAAAGCTTCTACAACTCTGCTGAACGAGATTTTCAAGAATTATATTAACTTCCCGGAGGGCTGTCTTCAGAGGGGTTCCGTAGACCTTTTTCTTCTGTGTCATTAGGGGTTTGTGTATTGAGTGGTTCTCTTTCGAATGTCAGTGCCGTTTCCACGGCGGTTGGAAATTTGCTCTGTCTGCCGGTTGGCTTTTATGTCAGTCTGGGCCGTGCAATTAATTATGCAGAATCTGCCACAGCGCTGTCAAAAACGATGCATGGGATCTAGATCCATCTCCGACAAACACACCACGGCAAATTATGATCGCTTCGTGACCTGCTAGCGAAGGGCTTTCTCAACAACAACCTACATCTTCACTACCCAAGGATGTTTCCAGAGAGAAAAAATCCTTACACGAACTCGCTTTCCTCTCCAATACAAACTATTTTGGGATGTATTCTTTCCCAGGTTTGCGTGGAGCTCAAGTTGGAGTGCTGCCGATATGAAAGATGAGCCCGAAGAGCACATAGTCGTCTCAGGACCGATGCTTTCCCGGTAAAAAGAACAAAACATTTTGTAAAGTACCATCTGGGAATATGCAACTCCCAGAACAATGATATTACCACTTCTCAGAACCCAACGCGTAGCGCATTAATCCAGTCTGCTTTGTCTCAATGTGACTACTGCATATGCATAAAAACAGACGGTCCGTATCGAAATCCGTTATGACAGGAGGGAATGGACTGAACTCACGTATCATGTTGTGACTTTAAACCCAAGCCTCTTTAGTTCAAATGTCCTATCAGCGCGCGTAGGGCTCGAGTGACGGGCCGCTCCTGATCTTATCTACGATATGCTCACGATCCGGTTGTTCCGTCGAAGCCCAAGTGGCATCTCTTCTCTTTCTGATGCCGAGAATGAATCGTTTGGCTTGATGTTCAGTCTCATTTGTATGCATTGTATACCCGGCAGGACCATTGATTTTATACAGTCCTTTGAATTCATTGTCAGAATATTGCGTGTAAATCTCAAAGGAGCATTATATGCATGCGCATAAATACCCCATCATTTTATCTTTTGTTTCATAAATCTGTTTGATGATGGCAGGGCTTATATGTCATTTTGTGGAGGTTATTAAAGGTAATTGATTTCCTATCTTCTACTTCATATTTTAGTGAACAATCGCCGTGTTTCTATTGCATCTTTTTGCTTGAATTAGATATCAAGAGCAAATTTGGTGGCAGCTTGCGCTTTGAAGATGCTCGCAGAATCACCACTTTTGTAGGATCAACCACATGGACAACCCTGCTCGTTATTGGTAAAAAAATGCGAAAAAAGAAAGTGATTGCGCTACCACGGACAAGACTATGTTTTTGAGATAGCCAACAGTGTCCAGGGCTGAGATGCATTATGGTCTGTAGGCTTACTTAATTAAAGGTTTCTTCCTTAATTCCCCTAGATTACCTTTCATCGCCAGGTCCTTGGTCAGCGATACCACCACTCGTCCCTTCATAGACTCGCCGATATGATAAACCTCCAACTCGTCGTCCAGAAAGACATCAAAGGCCTTCACTGCGCCCATGTTAAACATAGTGGACACTTGAGTAATCGTCCCGCCCCCCTCGTAGATGAAATTTACGACACTACTCCGCAATCTCCCTGTAAGCCATGGTGATTCTCAGTGCAGAGCGTCATGTGATTTGTGGGATGTACTGGCAACTTTACCAGATCGAAACAAGGGAAAATTAGTCCGGCCTGTGCTGATGTTTACCGCAAGTTCACCGTTATTAATTTATCATTTTTATTGAGTACAACCGAGGTCCTACGGCGTGCATTAAGAGTGGTAAAGCACTGATTTATATACACTGATCACTCAGTTTCAATAAATCCCGAGTTTGGTAGAATTTTTTTCTTTCCCTTGTCAAGTAAAGACAAGCAAATAAAACAGGGACCTTTTTAGGGCGAGTCTGAGAAACCTGATGCTTGACGGGAAGTACCAGTCACGATACCTCGTCGCAGAGGAGGGCTCGGTGACACATCGTGGGTCCAGCTCTGAAGTTCCCTCACGCAAATGAAGACGGCCGGCCTGAAATAGAGCCCGGTATCCATGGCAACGGTAGTGCAGGATGCCAGCCTCCGCCTGCCGCTGTTGCTCCTACTCGTACCTGGCAAGTTCGAAGCGCAAAGCCATGATGCAGGGCTGATTAATCCACGCAGCCATCACTCCATTATTCCCGATGCAATGTTGCCCATTCCTGCAATTGGGTCGACAACAACGTGGATCAAACAACGTGTGAGCATCAACGCAAGGAGTAAAGGTGATGCCACGTCCCTGAAATGGCGACAATGCCTTGTCAAACAGGACAGGTCCCTATGAGTTCAGTTTAGATAACAAAGCCAATACTGCTCTTTAATTTCCCATCGCCTGCTCTCCTATATTTTCATTTCGCTTCGGTGCAGTCTAACTCCACAATGGTTGCACCCCGCATCAACTGTCCCTTTTAATTCACGGTACTGGCACGATGTTTTTTCACACACCAAGATGAAATCATCGGGTGCGGTGTACGTTTATTGTGCAGCCATCCAGTGTTATTTCCGTAGGGCTTTTGTTATCTTACTATTCTATCTGCTGCATCCAGGCGCTATACAGATTTTGGAGAGCCCGAGTTATGATGGCTTGCTCGTCCGTCCGCACGGCTTGCATCCAGTAGATTCAACGGTTCTCTCTAAACAGAACTGCGCTTATCACGTGAAGCATTTCTTGTCATGCATTGTCGTCATTGCAGGGTTTCATTTTTCATCGTACAGTTGGCGTCGCATTGCCATAACAGCGCTGATGGCAGTCCACATGCACAGTGCATTGAGGGAATATGTGTACAATCCCATAGACTTTTAGGTTTGAGAGCAATAGAGTTTTTTTTTTTATTTACCATTTTTTTGGGCAGGTGCACTGGGCCAGGTCTTTCTGAATGACGATTGCATTTTCCTGTAGGTTTTGAGTATTTCTTCTTCGTCTGAAACGTGAATATAAATTCTATCCTCACTGAGTATACTGTGCAACTATTAAACCATCACAATTTATCGATACCAAAAAATACCTAATCGTTGTGCCCTTCAGCTAAAGTGAAATGCTTCAACTCTTTAGGGAAGTATTCTTTTGCCTTTAGTTTTCATTCTTAGTGTGCAAAGCCCCATAGAGCAAAGTACGAGGGTGACGTAATAAAAGAAGACCTTGATAAAAAGTCCCCAAGGTCTGCATTTTGGGGAAGTGGGAATTGTTTTTCCAACATTTCGATTTTAATTTAGCGTCACCTGTTTATACAGGAAGATAATATGCGGTCAGATTATTGCATTCGCCCACCCCTTTACATCTCCTGCAGACTTCTCCATCTTAAATTTCATTTCATATTTCGTAAACAGAATTTGGCTCAAGTGAATATGAATCTCTTTCTGCCAAAAATATATAAACAGTCCTTTTTGTACTGTAGTCTTTGCACAAGCCGCACTTAATATTATTAGCATGTCAACGTGCAGCTATATTTTTCCTTCTTCGTTGCTGATGTTCCTAATCTTTTTAATGCCATGGCGAGCGTTTAGAATTTTTTAACATGTATGTCATATATTAATAATTCTTCGTTCATTTTATTTTTATCAGTTTTGTTTTCAAGCAACTTTTGTTAATTTTTTTACATCAACTTGCGTTTCAATGCCTAGGATTTCTATTCTGTGATTTTCAAAATCGCACGAAGCGTCGAAGGGATAGAGGTTATATTTCTTTTTGGTAGGCGGACGAATAAGAAAATAAATGGGAGATGAAACCAATAGCCATCATATACCTGTTAACCCCCTCTCCCCCTCATCATGCCATCCAATCCCCGCCCCGGGTGCAAACCTAAATTTGTTCCCTTGCTCTGCGAACGTGATCTTGCCGCGCATTTGACCATGAGCGAGGTGGCCTTAAACCTGATAGAAATCGATCCACATTGTATTCATTTAGTCCTGCTCGTTTCCAAACTTTAGTCGCGACCGCTCACTGCTGCTGGGCAGAAGTAATGCTTTTGTCAGCAGAGCACGAGGTTGATTTCCGTGTGGCCCAGTCTGTTCCGAGTGGTGGCGGTGGGTTGTGCTCTATCAAGTCGGTAATATCTTTCGTTTTCGCTCGCCCTAAGTACAATTTGTTGCATATTATGTACATTCGATCCCCCACCCAAAAATCAGGTACTCAATACCTGTGCCAGATTTTAGTCTTCAAATGATGAATCATAGAGCATGAACAAAGTGGCTGGGCTCTTGCACAAAATATTTTACACAAGTGGCTTACTGTTTTATTCCACTCTCTCCATTTAAGTAAACTTCCCACTCACAGAAGCCCTCAAAAAAATAAAGCGTGTTCTATGTCCCAACGTTTACAATTTCACTCTGTTCATGTAAGTAAACCTCTCCAAAGCCCTTGAGAAACAACACCACCATGCTGTAAGTTCTAACATTTAACATGATGTCCAAAACTGTTTTTCGCAACTGAGCAAGTTAGAGCTTCAGTCGCTATCATTCTTTGGCAAAGAGGGCGCTACGGATATTTCTTGAATAGCAAAGTTTCTGCTAAAACGTACAGTATGTTTTCGGGGTTGAAATGGTGCACCGATTGCACGCGAAGCTGGTCAAGGTAAGACGAAAATATGTCTGCTGCCCTCTGTTGTTGCGGTCTTCCAAAGTTGCATTAAGTTCAACATACGCTAACCTGTCGATAGAGTCCTAACGCAATGGTTACATGCCGTCCCTCCCTCCATTGCCAATAATTCGGCTCCTTTGATGTTTTGAGTTATAAATACAGTCACGTGTTGATAATAACGAGTCAAAAAATATCTTCAAATGTATTTTTCACCGTTAGCTTTATGGTTCTATTGTTCATATTATCCCCACACTCGTCGAAGCTTGTACTGAAATAACGCCAGAAACTACCATCCACTGGCTGTCAGTGGCACTTGCTCGAAGTTACGAGTGAGGCCAACAAAATATCCTCACAGCTGAACTCCGGACGTTTTATTGTCATGGAAGGAATGCCTGCGAAATGCCTGACAAATGTTGGCAGTGCCACCAAGAACCTCTATCTAGACCGAATGCGTGATTATTTTCTAAATCTTTTAGAACGCCTCTAAAGGAATATTGCCGGGGGTATCGATACAGTACTCTCGTATGAAATGCCGACTTGTTAGACTCACAGCACCCTTGCACAGAAGGCATGTATGTACCAACTCCTTCCCGCATGCATTTCGCATACTAATTTTCACTTTTCAAAATTAACTTTCATGCTTTATACCATCGTCCCTTAATGTCAATAACACTATAAAATAGTGCTATGTCACTTTTCGCTTATAATGGCTACTCATCCATGCATGCCTCGTAGAAAATGAAAAGGCAAACTCATAAAAAAGCGAATTATTGCTCTATGTATATTGGCATATTTGATGTGCATAGTCTTAATGCCATATCGAATGGCACATACCACAATGAAAAGAGATGTTGTGTGATGTTGGTCCAGAGGGAAAAAAAGGAGATAAATTATCCCATCTAGTCAGATATACAGGAATACTCAGTAGGATTGGGTATAAGAGAACGTTCGTAAAATATGTACATGCACAAAATGCTGACCTTAGACCCTCAGTGCCCCGAGCGCAAGACAATTAAACGTGATGTTCCGAACCCCCCCCCCCCTACGAATGTGTAGACCATGTTATTTATGACTCTTCACACCAATGGCGCTGGTACTGCATTATGGTGAGACTTTAAATGGTTGGGGTAATAGGTTATTTATTTCACGATTTTCGATTAATGAAAGCTGGTAACGGTAGGTATTTGCGAAAGTACATTAATTTCATGACAATAATGGAGATTAAAATATACGTATTGCCAGGGATCCCCGTAAAAGTGTATACATTGTCAAAAACGACCCCCCCCCGTTGCAAAGGTATTTTAAGCAGAGACGGCTTTGTAATTGCTGAACCTCCTTAGGTTTTGTATACGACAGTGTCATTCCTGGATTTACTGGTGAGTGTATGATCTCTCGCCGAGAATTCTTCACATTAAAAATAAAATGCACTCATGAACCATTCGTACCAATCTTATTGGAAGCTTAATGGTGCTTTCACAAAGGCCACTGACTTTTGGAGTGTCTATAAGAACAAGAGGCAGCAACTTATCTACTGCAGATCCGTAAAGCTCGACCATATTTGTCCACTAAGCCCCCCCCCCAAGTCTCCGGTTTCTGGCCAGAGGCCGGCGCCAAAAGTGGTTCAACGACGCGTTTTTTTATCCCTCTCTTTTTTCCATAGAAATAATGTACACGCACATGTGCACATGGCCTTGGTATTATGAAAAGTGTGATTAAACAACTCTGTGCTAATAAAAAAGGCCACAAAATATGACAAGCATGAATTCACAAGTTGATTTTTGAGGAAAAGTTTCTTTTTTCCTCTCACTCGAACAGCAGGCTTTTAATCTGGGCAAGCTTAGTTCATAAATGATGGCATCTGAAAAAGAGTGCCCGACTAGAAATTCATGGGGGCCTCATGTCTTTATTGTACATATTACTCAACCGTGCTCCATCTAAAACACGTTAAACTTACGCCGTGAGCAGGATTCTAGTCAATCAAGCAAGTTTGGCAGGTTTTGGGCATTGTATTTTACCAAATAAAAACGTCTTTATTTTGCCGACGCGCAGGTCTACCGCGACGCGCACGCAAGCATTATGTGCCTTCATCCCTACCTTCACATCTTTTCCCTTCCCGACACTCGCTCTGTTCCTTAACACAACAGGTTGGGTACCAATCACTATTGACATTTTCCTCCAATAAAAACAGGCAGCAACCAGTTGCTAAGAGAAACTCTATCTCCATTAGATGAAGTTTGATGTTAAAAAACGGGGAAAATCTGGCATGCAAAATGTTGATTGCAACAACAATGGAACGTGTGGGAGCCCTGCGCGGCGCTTTCATACAAGTGAAGCGGAGTGCTCGTCATGCGTATAAAAACCTCGGACGAGCTTCATGAGTGTTGGCGCTCAAATCCATTCTCTCGATATATTATTTATGTTCCGTATGATAATCAGCATCAAACTGTATCAAGTACACCTATATATCCACCACAAATTGCGAGTGGTATCTCAGAGCATTTCCCGTGATCGGAGGCCGTGGGACAGACTATAGCTGGGCCTAATACGATTTTTTTTGCTCGCCTCACGAGCTGTGTCTTTCACGCCCTGCTTGGTATCTCTACGTCGACGGCTTTGCGGTACCGTGGTGAATTCCAGCGAGGCGGGCTCTTTGCACTGCCCCGGTAATTTTGGGGATCATGGAGTGTTTAAGGAGCTGCATTGTTCTGGTGTTGTTGGGAGGGGCCAAGTTGTCAGCACCGACTGGTAAGACTTGTAGAAAAATCACTTCAAAACGATTTATGGAAATTGAATAACTGTTTTATGGTGAGGCAACAAGAAAACCTTGTTGGTCACAATTTGTACCCGTGCACCACACTATAAAAGTTGCAGAGATGGATAATGAACCCGATGTTACAAAGCAAACCCCACGAATCTAGCCTTCTTGCTGGGCGCGATGGCTGTTCCCACGGATCCGCTAATGACTTAGTTGTATTAGTAGCTAATGCTCACCTCTTCCTCAGTCATTCTAGCGGGAGATGGGGAGATAGGGAAATGATTCTATCGTGTTTGATTCAGTGACATAGCTTGCTGCTCCTAATATCCTAACCACGTTCACTACATTCCAACCTTTACTACCCTGAAAGTTGCCGTTAGCCCCGTGAACCCAAAATGAATAATACTCATGGTTGCTTTTAGGTTGCTGGTTGCGTTGTGTTGTGTTGCATGATTGTGTTGTGTTGCATGGTTGTGTTGCGTTGCATGGTTGTGTTGTTTTGCATGGTTTTATCGTGTTGCATGGTTGGATTGTGTTGCATGGTTGTGTTGTGTTCCATGGTTGTATTGTGTTGCATGGTTTTATTGTGTTGCACGGTTGTTGTTCTGTGAAATTCTTTTAGCCCCATGAAGCAAAATTGTATGATTTCATAGTTGACAAGTATTTTACATAATTCATAGTCCAGCTTCAGAGCATGGAGGCTAAAAGTGGTAGCAAATTAGTCAAAGTTGAGTTCTTCATTAATTGCGTCCATCCATCAGAGTGCCACTCGACGGTACCGTGCTCGATTGAACGTGTCCGGCTTGATGACACTGCGCTTGCGTCAGCTATAAAGACGCCAAATTCACAGGCTTTCATGGTAATGATAGGCCACGGTATTCCAGCATGACTGTGCCGTGTATTCAATGATGCGAAAAATGTGTAAAATAGTGTGAATAATTCAGTGGTGCAAACAGGTGAAACAGTGTGAATAAGCAATAAGCAGCGAGAGCATTTTTATAATGCCCATTCTGTACAATGGAGTTAAGAATTGAAAGTAATGACTTTAAAATTGATAATTAAAATAATCTCCAGTATGAACAGCCCCAAAGGGAAAAAAGGACAAGAAAATTATAAAAATTATCCATGTCGAATCATTTGTTTTATTTTTAAAGAATTTTGAAAAGACATTTCACCTACAAGAAAATTGGAAATGGCCTTTAAATGAAAAGTCAAGCGATGGTACTGGTTGCTCTTAAACTTTGAGGGGGATTTTTGCTTTGTATTTTTAAAGGTGTAGGCCAGTGCACTTTCTTTGATGACAATGGAAATTGAACTAAATGTGAATCAGTCACGTCAATTAACGCGCAAAATGTAGGTAGACCAACTCTGAACATAATACTTTGAGTATTCTCAAAGATTTGAATACATTATGTATTTAAAGCATCTCCAACATTTGAAGACCACCGACCTACATGTTGCCTATCATATCCAGGCTGTCTTTAGCTCATCACCTAATATTTGACGCATCGTCTCGACTTCCTTCGCAAGTCAGGCGCGTAGCTGGGTGTTTGTTTTCTCATCAAAATAAAAACGAAGAAATGTCCTGCCGTTTAGGTGGAATTATTACTCACCAGTGCCACAAAGTCACTAAATACGATCACAGTCGATTACGAAATATTTTGGTAGCACAACATTCAATGCTTCTACAAGATACTTTCACCCCTCCTGGTTTACCGTTTGCAGTCTATTTTGCCGTCTCGACTTTTTTTCCCTTTTCTTGTATTGTCTGGATTTTACTCTTCATTTCTTCAGCCCTTTCATGCTGCCACGCTCCTTGTGTTGCAGCTGCTTCAGATAACCTGAAAAGCCCTTGAAATTTTAAGACCAATACAATTTTTCTGAGAAATCAGGAAGAATAGTCGACATCAAGGTCCAGGTATAGGCCTACACACGACAAATGTGCTGCTTTTTTCTGACGCAGCTGCCCAACTGGACGAAGGGGTCATTAATAGGCGTTACAGACTACAAACCAAACGACCCACTTAAAACAATCGTTCCTCCTCTTAATTTAATAGTTGTCTGCTTATTTCATTAATGGACATCCAACCATTATCGAAGAGAAAGCGGGCGGCTTGTGAGAAGAGCTTTGTGAGTCCGTTCCGCCTCCAAAACGGCAGCTATGTCGTCGGAATACAGTGGCTTCTTCGCATCTTATAAACAGCCTTTACGTAGAAAATAAAAAAGATATGGCAATTAAAATGGATTAATGGATGGCGTCAATCCCCATTACGGTGTGTATTAGGCAGCCTTTCATCAAGAAAAAAAAATTTTTTTATAGATGTCGCGGAAACAACGACTCTCGACTAAGTTCATGTCACTGAATCAGATCAGATCGCTTCTGACCGGGGCATTGGTCACAAACTGTCCTGCAAACCAAATGCCAGAATAAACCATGAAAAAGAAATTGGCATCACACGTTCCCTCTTCTCATTCAAAATAAAGTTTTTAATTTGATTCATTATGGCTTTTTTAAAAATCAATAAGAAACTGGACGGGAAATGAGGTCTGCGTGCTAGAGTGAGACCGGCCTTCAGACACAACCCTTCGAATATCCTTACTGCCCGGAGGATGTTTGTCTATTAACAAAAAGCTTCCTGCCTGCGAAATATGGGCCGTTCTCATTCCATGAAATGGAGAAATTAAAAGTCAACAAAAACCCGTACCTTTTGCTCGCCGTGCCGCAACGGAGATGTTTGCATTTGGGTTGCCTCCGTGGTAACCAAAGATTTGAATCAAGGCTCATCAAGCGATTGGTGAAGCCTATCGCAGCAACATTTGTTGAATGATCTTAGAACAGTTTGTAAACCGACGCGCACTTTTCTTTTAGAATTTCTTCATACAATAACCTTGACTAGAATTTTCATGAGATGTACATGTACACGTAACGAATATCAGTTGTATATAAAAAATGCTCACCGATACAAAAAATCTTAGATTGTGTTTTAAGAAAAGTTTTTTCAAAATAGATTAGTCACCAGAAATTAAGAAGGACAAAGTACGAGGCTACATTAACTGAAATGCGTTTGGGAAACACACCAGGCATGCAGTGAATGTTATGCTGAGTTTTGACGGTAATCTTCCCCAGGGTCATGGGTTATTTTTTTCCATTGTGGAATAATACATCTTGAAAACACAGTAGGCTTATATAACATCATTATAAATTGCTCTTTGAAGAAAATTGAAACTTTTGGTTAAAGTAAATACCAGTCAATTTTAATCTCCAAGCCTGGTAGATATGGTTGCCTCATTATATACAATATTCACTTATCTTCCCTTTTGTTTAGTTTTGGCCTTCGGAGATCCAAACAGCGTGTTTTGCTATTCCAATCCCTGTCAGAACAACGGAACCTGTGTCAACATGCGACGTGAGTAGTCGACCATTTCCTTCATTAATGTTGTCGGTCTTTCCTGTGTGTTACTCACTGAAGACTGAATAACATTTTAGTTATTTGTACACAGATCAAATGCTTTTGAAACGTGCCATATCAGCATTAAGACTGTTGTGATCTTGTATCTCCTGACAAGCAAGTTTATGGACCACGTTTTACGTGTGAACAAAAGAAGCTCACGCCTCAAAAAGGGAATCTTGCATCGAAATAATTATGTGTGTATTAATACAACGCGCAGCTATCACTGTAAATCAAGATGTTTAGTTTCGAAACACATTATAGATTCTTTCATGCAACACCTTTGAAAATTTGGACACTTTTACAAAAGACTGTTTATCAACATAAACAAATTTGTCTGACACTCTTTTTGACGAATTGTCTGGTAAACAACAACATAAAATATGTCTCTGCCTTCAGGACTCCGTTAGAGTAAGTACTGAAATCGTATCAAAGAATAGCACAGCACAACAGCGAAGTATTCATAAATCAACTGTCCTGAAGAGAACATTTTTGGAGGCACTGCTGTTACTTTGTGCACTTCAAAACCTTTCAAGGTGGCTTACTATCTCACTTTGTGTGCTAGTATTCACAGTCATGAATTCTGATATTCTTTAAACACTTCAGTTGAGATGCTACATGTTAGAAATGCAAGTGTTTAAACAATAATTCTAATTCCATCTTTATATTTTGGCAAACACGTTAAGCGTAAAAGATATGTTTCCTACCTACCAGCCGCAAACATCTACGATGTAAACAGGAAACAAAAACTGCATATGTATTCTTTGCTTTATGTACTTTGGAGCAATTGATGCTATCATCAGTATCAACTTCTAATTTCCTATGTAAAGATGGTTGAAACATTCTGAACTTGCAACTCTTTAGGCCCTCATAGGGCGCACCCTTAATTACATGCATTTTAAAACTTCAGCCACAGAATTAATTTTGGAAAATGTTAAGACATCGTCATTTACATGCTCGCTTGCTCGCTTTATAAATTTCGCTGAAAAAAATCACGAGGGAAGACTTAAAGTTTGTCAACACGATTATCGATTAGATAATATTAAAAATAATGGTCTCTATATACGCAGTTCTGTTACCATATTCACCGTCGTCAGAAAATCCTCACAGTGAATACAGTTGAAAGTCTTCATGGCTTCAGGCTTGTGCATCGTTTCTGAGCGTAGGCCTACTTGACTTTCAGCAACTCTTTTCCATTTCACGATTGCTTCTCGACCTTTGATATTTTCACTAAACATGGAGATTCTGTACACGTGTGCGGGCAAAATGGCACAGTTTAAATCTTTGAGTTTTAGACACAGGAAAACATGTTTATATTCCATTACAAACCTGATTGACGGTGATGATTGGTTTTGTCATTTGTCTCTTCCCCTTTGCAAAAGCTGTTGTCTTTTCCACAAATGAAATGTCAGGGAGAATCCTCTTCAGTTCTTGCATCATGTAAAACAACAACTTCAAATGGCAAATTTGAACTTACATATCGTGAAGTAAACATGGCATTATGTTTCCATATTTGTGGTAGTGAAAAATACAATAGATGTATTATTTTAAAGCATACTTTTTAAAGCATAATTGTTGCAAAATTGCTTATTTAATAATCGCAGCGTTAAAGAAATGCAAACCTGTTCTGAGCATTATTATTTTAAAAATATACACTGTGTCTAACGTTATAACGCCAGCTCCGTTGAGCAGTAGGGGGGGCTGAAGTTCTATGCAGAGTTTCAGGCTGACGTGTAAGAGCTAATCATGTGGAGGATTGTGCCTAGCGACCCCTTACCACGCATGCTCTCTGGTAAGAAACTTGAAGCGCCCTCCGGCGAGCTTGACACCCGTTCCCTTTTTTTTGTCTGAAACTCTCACCAACCAACTAGGTGCAGATCCATACGGGGTCAACCCCATGCCCTGACACCAAAAATGAATAAATCAATATATAAAATAACAATTACAGTTGTAACAGAAATATGACACCTTGAAAGTAGTAACGGCATTATACGCGTCCGCCTACCCGAAACAATTGGACACTACAACATTGGGCCAAACTTTCCTCTCCGAGGAAAACATTCCTTGATTTGCCCCTTCCAACTTTCGATAAGTTTATTTGAAGACCGAACTGTGCCAAAATGGCAGCTTGGATTCTACTCCTTGGCCATTTTAAAAGGATTTTAATATGGTGTGGTGCCCGGTAGGCGCTTCATACATACATTATATTTTATTGCATTGAGGCTACAGAGGCCGTTTACCTGTTAATAATTTACGCACCCAACTGACTACAAATCAATTAAGGAAAATGTTCCAACCTTTTTGCAGATACAGACAACAGAAACAGCCTGGCGTCACAGTTCCAGGAAAAAACAAATGAATGCATTCAGTACATGACTCGTAGTTTCATATTACAAGGATGCTGTCTTGTGCAATGAATGATGTTATGCTTTTAGGGAAAAAGTATAATAATCTAGGTTTGGGTATTATTTTTCCTGCATGGTATGATGTGTTTCTGGCCAGCACAGTAATTACATTCACACTGCATTTTCCTTTTCGCGTTATGAACACTCATTGGGTTGGGGGAAATGAACGGGCGAATTGAATTTATGCATCGATTGTCCAGTCATTTAGAGAGTGGGACCAACACTCGATTTTCAGCTTCGTGGAAGAACGACCAGTCAATGAAATGACCCCACTGCTCTGTTCCCTATGACAATGCCTTTCAGAAATACCGAACTAGATCATTTGCGCGATGATCGAGGAGCCTTCTACGGCTGTTTCAGCTGTCAGTGAGCTCATTCCAGAAAACTTGTCTATTACTCTGTGATAAATGTTATGACTGATCGCATCAAACCATACAGGCCAAACTACATAATTTTTATATTAAGCAGGCACATTGCGGCGTTTGACTCACCATGGAAACTTTGCTTGTTTGCGAAATAATGTTATAAAATTGTACCATTATAGACTGCTTGAAATACTGTTGTCCAAGACTGTGTAACGCAGTAGGCCTACTATCCGCTTCCAGCAGGAGCGAAAGAGGGAATGAAATTAACAGCTTTGGTACACACCACAGATATATAAAGGCATAGACCACCAGGTCCGATGCAAAACTACAGGGGCTTTACGTGATCTGCGCGGCGCCCGACTAAAATCAAAACTATGGGCAAATGCGCCCCTCAGCATGAGTGAATCATTACCCGTACTTGAAGAATTCCAGTTATAAAATTCTATGAAGCCATTTTTCGATTGTAAAGAAGCCCTCTTTTCATTTAATCTGGTCCCTAGGGATTCAAAACAATGTAATTGCAACATCTGAAAAGAAGACTTAGCAGTACAGAAGAGAAAGGTGAACGCATTTCGGGAGCACATGTAAACGAATACAGGCAATATACGTGCGCTGCGCGTGATGCGCATAGAAAATCACGGTTTTACGCGCAAGACCGGCGGTCTATGTGTTTATCGACAAGAATATATAATATCAAATCAGTGCTCTGAAATATGTGATTGCCGAGCTTTCGGTAACTGACTACCTTCTGATCACGGTGCTACGCAGCCCGTCCATATTTCTCTGGTCTATGCGTTTATATGTCTGTGGTACACACATTGATCTCCATTATATAATGGATGGAGATCAATAGTACACACTCACCGCATAGGCGCGCAAGTTTATGCGCGTTTGACGCGACGCACGCTGAGAGCGTGCAGTCCGGAATGTATGGTCTTCGCGCGCCCGCCAAGCGCTTACAAGAATCTGGGCCCAATTTCCCGGTGCTGCTTACCGCAGAATTCCACGCTTACGGTCTCCATTCAGCGCTAACCGCGCTAAATTCTGCGCTAACCTGTTAAGCACAGAATCCTTAATTACGGGATGTACGCATGCGTACAAACCAAAATTCCTCACTAACCTGTAAAAATACGTTCGTCGTAAGCACAGAATTTTCTGCCACGGTAAGTGCTGATTTTCCGCCTGCGGTAAGCCTGCAGCGCCTTGAAATTGGGCCCTAGTTGGGAAACTTAGCACCATCTGTGCTTCTTTCGCCGGTGCACTTAGCTCAGGGCGGGTATTGATACTCGCCTTTTTGAGCAATGGTCGCCAGCCTGCGCGTGTTGCAAAATGTTCGAGATAGAGCACTGGCTCTTGGAGCTGAAACCAGTCTTTTTTTCCTTCGGGAATGATACATCTGCATAATTATTAGAAAGATTGTTTCCTTTGTACTTGGAGGCATTTTCACAAATAGCCTCGATAGAAGCTGGACGCGTATCTTTTATAATTTTTCGACATAATTGATCTTTCTTATTACCAGAATGAAAGGTGGAAATTGGAAGCGGAATTAATTAGTCCTATAATGAGGCGTTTGCACGTGCTTATTGCTTTTTTGGAGATTTACTTCCATAATACATGGTTGCCACCCATGGACACTAATTCTGGCTATCCCTATGTAGTATGGAAACTCGAACAGACCAGAAAAAAGAAAAAAAAATGGATACATAAAAAGAACAATTCCTACTGTACTCGTGCGAATAGCAAAAAAACAAACAAACAAACAAACAAACACCCCAACAAACATGTGTTGTTATCATGTGCGTTATGATCATAAAGCAGTGGTATTCAACGTGGGGGGGGGAGATAGGATTATTCCCCAAAACGAGGGTCCAAAGTTTGTCATCCGTTTCAGGTTGAATTACCATCTCTAGAATGCTGGCGCTTTCACTTTCTAACCACACACGCACACCCATGAAAAGCAATATTTCTTGCAATGGGAAGGACAATTTGCCGCCGTCTGCTGTGGGATGCGCCCCTAGTGGCAACGGTTGTCTTGGAAATCACTCCTACAAAACTTGGTGAATTTCATAACAAGTCAGAACCACAAATTAACTTGGACTGAACAATGACGAAGATCCAGTTAATCATTTCATTTAATTTAGATTGGATGATTTGTGGTGGACTTGCATGACTTGCCTATAATATAGCAGAAAACTGTCCTTGAATGAGAAATCATGGAATTTGTCTGCTGAAGCGTCTTATATCTTTGCAGGTCCGGGAAGTGACCAGTCTCTATCCTTTTGCAAGAACGATTTATGTTACAAGCTGATCCTGGAAAGGAACACTTGGGAGGAGGCTACAATAGCATGCAGCGTGATGGGTGCATCCTTGGTTAGCTTAGATACCAGCGAAAAGGAGCAGGCCCTCGTGAATACAATCAAAGATTACCGTCTGCACAGTGAGTGAAACGCAGTTGCTTGCGGCACCAGCGAGTAATTACGAGGGAAAAGCACGAACATAATTAACATGTAAACAACCGTAGGTTATCGATTGGGCAGATTCATTGATGCAGAAATGAATCTAAATATACCACACTCGAGGCGTGTTTCTAGTTCGATACATGCACTTGGTTTGGTTTTATTTTTTAACCTGAAAACCTTTGCGGACATTATGTAAATTTAGACGCCCACTTTTTAGAATTCTTTTATTTAGTTTTGTGAATTGCTTTATTTGTTTTTCCATTTTTGCCGTTTAATTACCAACATTCCCCCAGTCCTTGGACTGCCTTTAGTGATTTAAAATTTAGTTGCGTTTTGCGCTTTTTTTGTATTCATGAAATTTCTTTCTCTTTGTTTAATTGTGTTTCTTAAATTTATTTACTAAAAACACAAGGAACGCAGTTTTCATTCCAGAGACAAAAGACTAATTACTTTGGTGAGTGTCATAACATGGTTAAGCCATACCGTGGAATGCCATACCTTCTCTTGGAAAATTTCATCATAAATCGTCTATGATTATATAGGATGATTGGCTGAGATACGACCGCCTATACTGTGGATCTGTAATTACAACCATGGCGGCATGCATTGTCCAGACATTTGAACCCGTGTAAGGTGATTAGGGGTCGTGGTTTGTCCGCCTCCATGGGGAATGTACTCAAAATAATCCAATGTTATTGCTCGCATCTCTCATAACTATGGTCGACGCGACCTAGAGGGAGGTCTATTTGTAGTGGCGCTCCCAAACATAAGTAAAGTCCTTCAGTTCCTGGCAAAATGTCCTTCAATTCCTTGGGTGATTATTAGATATTTGTAATGTTATATTTAGAACCAGGGATACGTACCCCCCGCCCTGTACAAACGCCTCTTTGCTGACTTTACCCTTCAATTTCTTGCGTAACGCGAGATTTGTTTGTTCTCCAAAGGTAAATATGAGACAAAGGGAATCTTTTTTATCTTGTTTTCCCAGAAATGTCCCACGTTTTCCGAGAACTCTGAAATTCTCCAAAAAAGTTAATAATACTTTCTGTTTTTCCCCTGAGAACTTCCTTTCCATGGAAGGATTACATTTCCTTTGTTCCTTCACCCTGTGATCACTGGATGCATCTTGGAGAAGGGAAAAATGAGTGAAGGGATTTTATAATGTGTATTAATTACAAAAAGAGAAGGGCAACGTCACTCTTTCATTTCCTTTCCTTCCAAAAATTTACGCCAAAATTAATTTATCCTTACACCTCCCGATGAAGTGTTTATTCTTCCTTCACATGAAAAAAAAAATAAATAATTTGGTCACCAAACAATATGCTCCTGAAAATTTGCTTTCCCTGTCTCGACACTTTCTGCCTATACAGGAACACAGTCCTCCCCGAACAACCCGGGTGGGTTCTGGTCCAGTGGCAACAACTTACTCTTGGAGGACCAATGGACCTGGGGAGCGGACCCTAACCGTCCTGTGATGTCCGGTTCGTTTCCTCCCTACGTGAGCCGCACTCGTCGTTGCCTGATGCTGAACACTGACTTAATGATATGGTCCAGGATACAACTAGCGACTGAAATTTGCGAGAGGCGCTTATACTTCGCCTGTGAGCTGACGCCTGAGGCTCTGTACCAGGGTAAGAAAAGTAATGAATATTTATTTTTAAGGTTAGAAAGTATTTAAATTTCATTGTAATTTCAACCATACAATGCAGTAATAATTGCACATTTTTGTCACAATGAAAACACAGTTGCGTTTTGCAAAAAATATTAAAATTAAGAATTCATGAGAAAACAAAGAAACAGTGATTTTCCACACATGCGTAACACTAAAGTATATGATTGATTCATGTGAGCAGTTGAAAGTATTTGTCCATCCCTATCCAAGTAAACTGCTGAATTTATTATTGCATGTTGACATTAACTTGGGTCGTTCATTTCAACACTCACTTGCAAAGAGCTTTACCATTTGGGTCATTTTTAATCACTGAAGCGGAGGGGAAAACACGTTTCCCTTTTTTCACGATAGGTTTTCATTATAGTATTTTTTAGTCACTGAGTAGTACGATGAATAACCCTTAAAAATAAAAAGCCTACTTTTCCAGAGATAGGAATGAGCGTGGACAACTGTGTCATCCTTCCACTTATAGAAGGTTTACATGGTTGTCAAATTCCAGGCCAGTTCTTTTGCTCTATAGGGTATGCACAAAGGAGGTCTCCCTGAGGCACAAATGAACTGCCCAGCAAAATGTCTACCACGCAAAGCCTCTATTGAAGCAACGTTCCTCTCCCAGGTTTTTACTTGAGCAAGTTACTGCGCTGCATTTACTGCTTAACAGTCTCCGTGAATTAAACTACCCAGCACAAAATTGGCTATTACCCTTTGAAAGTAGGCCTTGTAATGAGCTGAATGAAAAGCCTTTCGCGCTGGCGGAATAAAAGTGATCCTTTGGGAGAAACATCGAAACTGTAGCTAAATGGACTCATAATGGAACTGCTACCCGTTTCGCCCTTAAATTTCAGGCAGAATCACGAGCATAATCTTGGCAGCGCCAGGAAAGGTATCCATATACCAATTTTATTAGAGGAGAAATTTTCAGGAAGGCAGGCACAGGGAGCATTCTTCCCTAAGAGCACTTATCAAAAACGACTGTGGACTCTTAGCACTGTAAAATCTCATGGACTGTAAATTTTGTATGAGCAGTGTCGCTTCCATTATTGGATTGTGTGCGACTCGCTGAGCATCAAATGACAAGTTGCAAACTAGCATTTAACATTTACAGTCTGTTCCACGTAATGCACATTCCCCATTGACGTGGGAAATTGTTTCAGTATAATTCTTGGAAGGAGTGAGCAAATTGGATACTTGGTTTAAGTCTGAATTAAATCCTCTAAGCTGTAATTGACGAAAGAGAAGCTGTAGCCATGACATGGATGAGATATACCAGGGTCTTGTCCCGATGGTAACCCTTAATGACACTTGACTTCTTTTCAGGAACTTCAGCGATCGAGTGCCTTCTAGCGGCAAAAGCTATTTTTCTGACACAATTTTTTGTATTATGTTTATTGGTTCATTTTGGCTCTATAACCTTTTTACCTCGTAAAGATACCTGGAGGGATACAGGCATAATTCTTTGGAAGATGTGGAATACATGTAAACTATGACCAAAAGCATAACTTTTAACTCAAAGTTAATGTGACCGTGCACAAAAAAAGAATAATACATGTTCATTCAATATTCCATTCCATGAGGCGAGGCTGACAAGAACCGAATGTCACCAAATAATAAAACTCTGTCTGGTAGAAAGTTCGTTGGGGCAAATAAATTATAAAATGTTGATTTGCGAATCACTCTCCAATCATGCTCAATATTTTGGGTGATGGAGGACGCTGTGAAAAGACCCTGGGGGCTCCCCCACCCTGAAATAAATTACGGCTGAGCCTCCCTGATGAGCAGTTCCTTTTTCCCTTTTTGAGTCACGTCAGACTTGAACTAAAGGCTTCCAAAATGAAGTCGAAATTTTCAGGAAAGAAGTTTGAAGACAAATTATTCAAAAAGGGTCCGCAAAATCTGAGTGATTCCCCATTCTATTGCTCCAAGAATGTGTGACCAATATCTACACTGCAATATGAGTTTATCCATGTTTAATTGTTTTCCCTTATTAGAGAGGACTTTTCAGTGCCTTTGTGAGGAAGGATACTTTGGTGAATTCTGTGAGCGAACTCTAGGTAAGCAATACTACGATATTAATTCAAAACACGTTTCGCTGAAAACACTTGAGCTGCTGCCGTGCACACACGTTTGACGTTAGTGGGAAATTTGTCACCTCCGAGTCAATTCTAACTTTTACAGTCATTTGGGCATTGATACTACATGTTTATTGCGCTGTCAGTAGAGCTATGTGCTCTTAAGGCCTTGACTTATTTAAAGATAATAGGCCTACATATGATTTTTACGTGAACTTTTCCGTGTTTCCAAGCAAGATTGGGAAATATTTCCTGGGTGTATTGGTGGAGTTGATAGGAGAGCGCCATCGTAGGACGGCGCCAGCGGTTCCGTGGCGCGCTTGTTTGGTACCAGGGTTGCTCAAATGCCAAGGAAATTTCTAGGTTAAACTAAGCAAACAGAAAACAGAAACCTCAGAACTGGACAGACGGCCATGCCATGCATTAAAGAAATCCCTCACATTCAGGACATCTGGCTCACTTTATTATCTTAATTTATTGTGTTTACGGCGGCGTTTAGACCGGTCGCTGCACATGTACTTCTATTGCACGAAACTGCAGACTGGGAAATTGGAACCAGACAATTCTAACTTGGACTTTAATTCCCTTACCCTTGGAGCAAAAATGTTACAGAGGAAATTAAGAAAATGCCTATTAGTTTCTGTGGCCTGCTTTGAATTTTCCATTTTGTATATTACCTATATTAATTTGATTTCAATTGGTGAACAAAATATCTGTCCAAATGTAGTTTGAAACAATGTCTCTTAGGCACACATGTAACATGTAATATTCACATTCAACACTTCATCTAATTTTGAAATCCACCGTGCACCCACACCCCTTGTCTTTTACCCCAGCTGTCCTCAACCTCTAAACCACACGGCAAGCAAGGTTTTCACTAGTTGTTGTTTGGCTGTATCCACATTGAGCACAAGCACCCCCTCAACGGATAAAAATAGCAAAAGTGGACGGGAATATTCATTTTGCCGATAGCGACGAGCCATGGTGAACCAGGGATGTGTAGTTCTGACCAGGAGCCGAATTTGCTAAGAAAATTGCGCCTTCTATTAGTCCAGCATCGGGCTTATGGCTCTTGTAAACAGCCAAAATTCCAGCCAATCTCCTCTCCGCCGCTAAGAGCACCAAATATCTTGATCGAGAGTTCTTTTCACGTTCACTACCCTTATTAGTAATTGTTTTCGCCAAGAAAGGTCTTTATATGGCTGGGGGTTATTTTCTATAGACTGAAAGCGACTGTTAAACACTGAAGGAAGAATCATTGGGGTAAATGGGAGTAGTGATCGCCACGAGACCAAGTTATTTTTAATTTTATACACGATAGGGGTGGGGGATAAACGTTTTGAAGGACCTTTGCTTCGACTTATCTGCCTGTGTTTTTTCAGATGGTGATCACTCACTCGAGTGCTGAGATAGGCGTGTTATTTTCTGTATCGCGTTTATTTGTGGTGATACATTATTTGTCATGTCATTTTATATATACTCTTTTTAACCCCACGTGGCACGCCATACCACTTTGAGCGTGAGAGATCAAAGATCAGATTTAGGCCTACCTGTATAAAGTACATGGATACACGCGGAACACCCACTCCACTACAGCTAGTTCCGATCAGGACATTCTGCACGCACGTGGGTATTGCATCGCTCAGGATTTTCTCTTCACCGCTTCTTCGGCCGGAATTTCGTTCTTCATCGTACCTGCAGGAGAGTGATAACACTCTTTGGTTATTCTGCGCCTCATTGGGAGAGCTACATGCCACACATTGATTACACCGATTAGCCTTTCTGCCGCTTTCAAAATAGGCAGTTTGGTGGTCTCTTCGATTTCCGTTTCATCATCTGCTTAAACACGTGAGACTTTGCGCGGGACTTCATTTTGTGTCTTCATTCGTCGCCGCTTGGTTAGGCAGCTTCGTCCTTGTTCATGTGGGAGTAACCATGTGTTCCTTCCTCCATGGAGTAACTAAGTGAAGAACATACAAACAACGTATACAGGCAGGCCAGTCACGATTCTTTTTTGTTCAACCTTAGGCAGTACTTTAGCCGTCGGGGGAAATATTTGGGCCCTGACATTTTAAATCCGTGTGTCAGCTCTATATTTGTACTTTTAAAAATCCCCATTTTACCCTTCTACTTCTTTTAAAATTTCACCATGGCCTCTTCCAGCAAGATCTCCAGCGATGAGGTAGGCCTACCACAAGGTGTGTTTCAAGATAAATCAAGTGGCGGAAAGGATAATACCGATGAATACGATGATAGTGCCTTGGAAACATCCGATGATGAAGCCTCAGATTTAGCACCGTTATCTGATGAGGATTCAGACTTAGTGAGTTCTTCAAGCAGCAATGGTGAGAGCGACTGTGATGCCTCTCCACCCAAGAGACGGAAAGGCAAGCAGAGCCCACCGCCACAAGCACCCGCCCCTGTCCGAAAACCAGCTGTGCCAGCCAAACGTGGTCGTCCAGCCAAACGTGGTCGATTTCGTGTCACTCCGCAGCGGCCGCCCGCCGTGGCCAAGCCGGCTGGTCAAACAGTAGTGGGACCGGACGGCACCATCTGGAGCGACCGGTCGAGCCGGTCCCCGACTGCGAGAACAGCTGTAGTTAACATCCTCACCCAGAAAATGGGCCCTCGGAATCTGGGTGGGGCATCGTCGCCGTTGGAGCTGTTTGAGTTGTTTTTTCCAGATTCAATGCTTCAGATTATCTTGAAGCACACCAATGCAGAAGGGTTGGCCACAAGAGGGCGTAGCTGGGTCAACCTCGCTATGATAGAGTTACGGTCGGCCCTGGGACTGATATTCTTTTTGGGACTGACAAAATCGGGCCATGAGAGATTGAGGTCGTGTTGGCGTCCTGGAATGTTTTCTCGACCTTTGTGCGAGGCAACCATGGCCGGCAAGCGGTTCAATGACATCGCCGGTAAGTTTGCTTCGCTTTGATGACAAGACAACTCGCCGTGAACGGAAAGCCACGGACAAGTTCGCGGCTATCAGAGACATTTTTGACATGTTTTCCGCAGCACTTCCCCGTCACTTCAGCCCCGGACCTAGCCTCACAGTTGACGAACAGTTAGTTTCATTTAGGGGCAGGTGCTCCTTCCGGCAATACATGCCAAGAAAGCCCGCTAAATACGGGTTAAATTTTTTGGGCGTCGGTGGACAGCACCACTCATTATGTGCACAACATGCTGCCCTATATTGGGAAACAACGCGACAAAAGGACCCAAGAGCTACCAGCACGTGTTGTTAAGGAGTTGGTGGAGCCTGTCCTCGGAACTGGCCGCAGCGTTACCATGGACAGCTTCTTCACCAGCAAGGAATTGGCAGATTACCTCTTGCAGCGAAAGATCGCCGTCGTTGGCACCATCAAGGAGCATCGCCGAGAAGTGCCCCGAGATATGCGGAAGGCGCATCTGCAAGACAGGACAGTTAAGTCCTCGATTTTCCGGTTTTCTGGGCTGAATACAATTATGTCGTTTGTGCCCAGGAAGAATAAAAGTGTCCTGCTGTTGTCAACGATGCACCACAATGCATCAGTCGACCCTAATACCAAGAAACCGGAAATAATTAACTACTACAACTCCACGAAGTCCGGCGTGGACACCGTAGATCAGATGTGTAGTTTGTATAACTGTGCACGCATCTCCAATCGCTGGCCTATGGTGGTGTTCTACCACATGATGAACTGTGCGGCCATCAATGCCTACGTGTTGTACCTAGAGCTACATCCACGGCTGCAAGGGGAGGCCAGAACCCGCCACAACTTCCTTAGCGAGCTCATCTTGGCCCTAGTCCGCCCGCATGCAAATCGAGATGCGGAGATAACATCCGAACCGACTGCATGATCGCAGTGTCGCCTCCTTGAATTTCATCGGCTTTGGTGTCGTGCGTCGCGCCAGGGACCCCGCTCTTACATGCCCTGGCAATCTACCTCCACAGCGAACTTGTCGTCTCTGTCCCCGAGAACAGTCAGTTAAGACACGCCGGACCTGCTCGGAGTGCCACCGTTTTTCCTGCAAGCAACACAGCGACACCAAAACAACAAAGACCATTTGCTGCTTTGATTGCAAGATGGCTGAGTAATTGTTGATGACAATCATGTTGTCAGTGATGAATTCTTTGTTGTCATTCTGTTGTCATAAAACAGTTCTGGATGACACCATGTGGGAAAGGAACAACCTTTTCTAAAAAAAAAATGTGCTATTTTACCACATGGTAACTGGCACTTTTTCATGCCACTCTCCTTGCATAAACAGCGGGCGTGGAGTTATAACACTTTTGCATCGGCTTAAAATGTTCTAATTAATGCTTTTTCATGGAACAAAATTAATAGGTGTTTGAATCCACATCGCATTTAAACACATTTGCATTGCATTGTACATTTATGTCGGGGGCGAAATGCTGTTAAAACAGTGGTACAAAAAGTGTTCACAAAGTGTGTTTAAACTCTAAGTGCCTTTGTGAAACTTTCGTCTTTTTCTTGAGTTATAGGGTATTCTTTCGGTTCATCGTTTACACAATATTCTCGGTCATCTAATGAGCACTGGGTCGCCTTTGTGTTGTGTATGGCGGTTTTTATTCAGTACAGTTTTACCATTCGAAAATATATTAGTCTATAAACAGCGAAGCTGCTCGTTAGCGCAGGCGTAAAGAGAGAGAGAGAGAGACAGAGATCCCTCCGACGTTTTGAGGCAGGGATGGGCTGTTGAATCATCACCCATCACAAATGGCTTATTGGAGAATTTGAATAGTTTCTTTAATCATGTTGTGAAGTATACATCGTGTACATACATTTGATAATCGTTTTCGTAATCAGAAGTTTCTATGTTTTACTTATTTTGCACTGCCGGTTGAGTAAGTGAGCGTCAACCCATGGCGCGCAAGCATGTGTCGTGAGTGAACACTCCTCCGACAGGCATCCAACCGACCAACGGTAGGCCACTCGAGTTGAGCCATGCCATCATAGAAAACCTGTTTTCAGGATTCTAAGATTTTTACCATTATCAACACTTAGCAAAAATTGTTCGTGGAGATGTGAGGTGGAACCATATTTTGATGAGCTGTGGCATGTTCGTTTTGCTGCCAGAAAGAGTCCTCGCAATACTCTTAAAAATCAAACTTAATTTCTTTTAAATAGGCCTTTATGAAATTTCTAAATAAAGAGCAGAGAACAGTTTGTGTGACGTTGGAGGTCACTCTGCAGCTCAAAATTGCGCGCGCGTAATGCACATCCACACCGCTGCAATCCTTGCACGCCTACTCACTAATTACTATCCTAAACTAAATATTATGTTCCACTGAACAGTTGCGTACAACGAACACTCCCCTTAGCTTCAGATTTTTTTTCCGCACGCCTGTACCAATTACTGAAAGTTTGCTATAAACAAAACAGTATTCCGGACCGATGATATATTCCCTGATGGAAAATCTTACTAGCGGGGTAACAACGGAATAAACAGATTTAGTAAATGCACAGCATGGTTGATCTTTGTCAGGAAATGTTTAGCGTTATCGCTGCAAAGGCAATGATTTCACCTCATTAAAACATTTTGGAAGTGTGGAGATAGAGGGTATAATAGCTTTTTTTTTCTACTGGACTCATAAATCTCCGTGGAAAATTTTGCGAGTCTCAATCGTTGGACGCTTGCCTGAAGCTGGCGCTTCTTGCTACAGAATAGTTTTGGCCCATAGAATTCCAGTGCAGCAGAGGGAACCAGGGCAGTACGTGTGACCGGATATGACCGCACTGCGTTTTTAACAGCCCGGGGGAACTCTTTTTGCTTTACCAGCGGTACAAAATGGCTTTTTGAGGGCTGTTTTCGTCTTGACCTACATGGGTTGGTGATATGTTTACTCATGGAGGAAGGTTCCTTCCTCCATGGTTTACTGGATAAGTACATACAGTGGAATCGCATAAGGAATGGAAGGCAAGACAAATAGAGCCTGAAGGTGACAGGTCACGCAGCGAGCTTCCGGAACCCTCGCGCCCTCCTCCTGGGGAGATTTTACATTGGCCCGTCCTCTCACATTCGATAAATTGTCTAAAAGAATAATTCCCAACTAAAACGACCCCATGAAACACTCATAATGGAATTTTACCTTTGTCTTCCTCAACGGAAATTTATTAAAAGTCGTCTGGAGGTGTGGTTGGACTAGGGCGGAGCTTTTTATAACGCTGAAGTGGCTTTGCTGTGGATGCAGTGTTCTGCATTATAAAACAGAGTTTAAAAGCACTCTATCCGCTTCATCATATACGACATCACAGTCAAAGAAACATCTCAACAAAACCAAATTAAACAAAAAACAGTTCCGTTGGAGGAACAACGCGAACCAAACACTTTTTCAAATTTGAAACTCTCACTGATGAGATAGTGGCACACTCCAGTGCTAATGCTGGGGGCATCCAGGGCTGCACACATTTTTTTTTTCAGTGGAACACCACTAAATAAACTCCGCAGAGATTATTCACAGTTTTTAAGGGGGCGGCACCGGGAGATGTGCCCCCTACCCCCGCCGTGTCCCTATCCCCGTCATTACGCCACTGATTAGAAGAGTGACGGAAGTCAGTTCGGCCAGATTGCAATAGGCACGATCTTATGTCATGATAAGGCTCACTTTGCAAAGATTATTCCTGTGATACAAGTGAGGTTCCGGGTCCCAAAGGTGAATTAAACCGAGCGGTTTGGAAAAGACCACAGTTTAACTTCCACCCTGGGGGGAATTGTGGTATACATTTATACCAGTCTACATCATCATGCACGCATAAGATCATCATACGTTTCGATGTAACTGCAATTCACCCGTCTCTTTTTTAATCAGTTATTTTTTATCGATCGATTGACAGACTGTTCGATCGATATAGCAATGAGACCTATCTATCGATGGCAAATATCGATCGATGTAACAGACTGATTGATCAAAACCCTATTGCTTCCATAGCCCATATACCGCATAGCTCTGGTTGCCGCTTGGCGCCTCTGTGCAGCTTCACTTCGCCGAGCCAGTTAGCAATGTAGCACTTTTTGCCTCTTTGGCGTTCCATAAGAAATAAGCGCTTGCCGGCCGGCACTAAAAAACAGCAAGTGATTGATTGCCAACAATGTATACCAGCGCAGTGGTGATGGCTTTAAAATGAAGCAAGATGCGGGACGGAGAACACTCCCCCCCCCACACACACACACTTTTGTGTTGGTCATTGTTTGATCGGAATCTCAGGAATTCTCAGGATGGAGTCGGTCGTGGTCAATACCCTTGGTGGGTGAACCCTTGAGGCTAACCGTCTCACTTCATGGAGGAATCGACAGCATGGTCTTTCGCCTTTTAACTAATTTTTGGATATCTTGTGAGTTATGTTTGTTACATAGCCTCGTACAATATGTACTTTGGTTTTATATTTTTATATCAGTCATTCTGAAATTTGAGGTTTTAATGTGACATTTGACCTTTATAACCTGACATGGGATAAGCCTCGGGCCAGACAGTCATTGGCTGTAGATCTACTGAGTGGAGCGTTAGTAGTATTCTTCTTTTTCCAATTTTGGACTGGAGTCCAAAATTGGAAAAAGAGGAATTACAGTAGAGCTAGTGTGGCAGGTAACCTGGCTTTGCAAATCAGATAATGTCTTCTACTGGTTCACTGGAAATGGGCCAAAAGTCAAGGTCGTTGAGTGATTCTTTTATGCCAATATTACTAATCTTATGTAGTCAGCAAGCTCCCAGGATACAACAATTTAAAACAAGATATCAGAAATTTGAAAGATGTGTTGTCTGTGTTCTTTATCTAAAAAAAAAATTAATAATTTAAAAAATAAGTATATTTTACTATCAATATGTAAAGTAACAGTCCATTTCCTGCTCCCAGGGTAAACATACCAAAACATGGAGAGTAAACATACAACTTTGTTGTGTGGGGGTTTTTGGCAGGAGGGGGTACGTGTTTTTTCTGTTATTTTTCAGTGAAGAAATGAAGAAAAGAAAGAACAAAAGGTGACTGAAAAAGTTTGTTGATTGTCACTGGGCTCAAATGCACATTCCCTTGCCGATCATATTCACATGAGCTATCTCAATTGACTTTGTGTTAGAGGATCTGAATCCTAGATAGATTTGCAAGGATTGTAGGATTATGTCATAAGAATAGCATTTGTGGAGGTCGTATGTTGCGGAGAAGCTATAAATGTCACTATGGTATGTTCCCTTAATCCTTGACATGACTTCATTAAACTTATGGGCCTTTGCCGCATCTCAACATTTGAGAATGTGTTTTTGGTTTGCTTGTTTTGAAATGTGCTACAAGTTTTCCACTCTCATTGTTTGTGTTCCCTTCTTGAATATTTGAAGATCTCCAGACAGAGACAGTTTGCAGTGATGCCCTCCTTAATCTGACCTGTGACCTCAACAAACACTTGACCATCATTAGAGGAACCTACCATCTGGACAGTGGCAGGGAAGTCTGCTCTGAGACCTCTGGAGTCAGGCCTACTGTTAACTGTGTTTTAAGGACCAATTTGAACCACTTCCTTGAAAATGTAAGACTTCTTTTGGAGTGCACTTGAACTTTCAGTTCTTACAAAAGATGTGAAAGAAAAAAAATGTGAAAGACCTGCAGGCTGCACAGTTCTCTACCACTGTTGTGCAGCATGGTGTTTGATGAGAATTCTATGTATTGTAAGCCTTGATTTGTTGGATTTTTTCACCCATTTCCTGGTTTCAAATTCCAATAAAAGCTTTTTTTGATGAGGTCTGGATCTAACATCTCCCATTGACAGGTATATGAACCTTTGAATTAGGTTCCTTATCCACCTAAATTCGACCAGAAATCCTGTCTGCACTTTTATGATGCTAGTTAAATAGCCAACAAGCCCATACCCCAGTGTTAATTGCACTCTACCCACTGTGAGGTCTTATGAGTTCAGTCTTTTTTCCAAGTAGGAGATATTGGTCCAGGCACTAGCTTTTTATGAATTGCTGAATGGTTCAGGTTTCACCTGTGGAACCCATTATCCTGTCACTGGGTTTTGTAGAGCACCAGCTACAGAGTGCCCCAAAGAATCCAGGGTTGCAGTGTGGAATAAAAAAAAACCAGTGGTGGTACCATGGGCACGTGGACAAAGGTCTCCACTGTTCTTACCTAAAGTGTACTAATAAAAGTAGGGTTGAGGGAAGAGAGAATGCTTTATACACTATCCCAAAGGGAAACCAAGAACCACTTTTTTGGGGGGGATCGGGGGTCAAACCTATTGTTGGGGGACCCATAAAAATCAGCCTTTTATGTATCCTGTTCAAAGCTGGTGTAGCCTTTTTGAAGTTGCAATTACGCTTCATTTTGCAGTTTACACACTGTTGGACCATGGTTTGCCCTTGGACATGTTGGAAGAGAGAGGGAAAAAGACCAATTAAGATTCTTTCCTTAATTAAAAACAAGCCCCCAAAAAATCTTTTGCATTTTTTTGTGGGGGCATGGCCCCAGGATCCACCCTTTATTGACATCCTTACTTAAAACTTTGTCAATGACTTTGTCCTTTCTTAATCTGTGAACATAATTTGCCCAAAGATCACCAACTCTCACATACTCGAGTGTCGATTGCCCCCTTGCCAGGAACTCCAATCTGGTACGGGACACCTATGCTTTTCATTTTGCACCCCAAAAGCACTGAGTCTTCCTTGGGCTGAGGGATACTGTGAGATTCAAGTCTGTTCACAGATTGATAAGCATGGCTTATAGCGAGTTCCCAGTTCAAACCTGAAATGTGATCGCTGGTTGATTTACTTCTCATCAGAAGCACCTGTCCAAGTGCGAGGGACGGCAACGCTGTACCACCATTGTTGCTGATGACACGATACGAAGCTCAGATGATTGGTGCCTCAGCCATCCGATATATGCCAAGGTGGAGTATGGATGTCAAGGTAATTATATTAAAAGCATGGCTAAAGATGTTTCTCTTTGTTTGGGAATACGGCAGGTGAATGAATAGGGGACGGCTAGATATGTCTTAGAAATTGAACTGTTTCTCGACTGCTGTCGTCGCTTTTTTGGTAACTTTTCTTTCCAGAAAATTAGCATAGTTTGGCCCATGTGAATTGAACATTGCTGGTATCCTATACATTACCTGCTGACATGTAGCCTGTCGGCTCAGCTGGTTCACACAGTAGCCATGCGTTTTTCTCACTGGCAGCAGGGTGAGATTTGGTTCATATTATCGGGTATTTGAAAGTGTATCTAGCTACCCCCCCAAGAAAAATGCTACCTTTACCAGACAAAAGCTCTTTTATTGGAGTCCATTCGTCTTGAGACCCGAATAACATCAGTTACCAATGACAGAATTTACTTCTGCAGACACCTTCTCCATGCATACCTGCCAATCCTCCATGGCCAAACTGTCCTGCGAGAATTCCACTGGCCAGCCGTTCATACGTGTGGAGGTTGCCACGTATGGACGACTGCATAGTAGTGCCCATTGCGCGGACAGCACCCTGCAGCCGGGACAGTTGCCTGTCACTGACTGTCGCTCTATCAACACACTGGATCTTGTAGCAGGAAGGTATAAATTTGCTGTTAGATCTTGTCTAGAACTGCATTGTGCTGTTGCCGAGAGAAGTTAGTTAAAGAGTAACTCAAAGAAAAACATATGTTTTCTCTTTAATTTTGTCTGTTCAAATAAATATGGAAGCATCCAAATCGAGTGCAGTTCAGAGCTCAACTATAACAAGCTAAAACAGGCTTTTTTCTGTTCATGCCAAGAGGCAAATTCTGAATGTAGATTATGTCATTCTGAGAAAACAGAGAAAATGAGGGGAACCCTCGCTCGGTGTTCATTGTGGATATATCCTTGTGCATGTCAAACAGTGCATGTATTCATTATTCGATTTGGATGCTTCCATATTTATTTCAACAGATAAAATCAGAGAAAACATGTTTTCCTTCGAGTTGCTCTTTAAAAATCACTTTTTCATCAGCCAAACATAAGGCAAAGTAGTTACCCTAAGTGGCAAACTTTAACTGCATGTCCTATACTCACTGGCAGCGGAAGCTGGGGGCATTGCCCCCCCCCCCTTTTTCGACTGGGGGGCATGGCCCTCCCACTTTTTGGGGTCAGGCTTAATTATGGATCAGCCTATTAATGGCTTATGCCTGATGGTCTCCCAGATGCCCCCCCGAGTTTGAAAATTGCCTAGCTGTCCACCATCACATAGTGTGTATTGACCACACCCATTTGTTTATGGCAGTGCCACCTTGGAAGAACAAAAAAGAACATATTGAATTTGATTGTACATAATTGTACCAGTGCTTATGGTGCAGCGTGCCTTTCAAAATGCCACAAGTGTATGGTTCTAGAACTGAAGCTTCATTCTGATCTGGATGCAAATGGTCAAGTAATGTTCACCTCGGGGAATGATGGTGTATTCATTCGTTGGAACCGCTGCCGGCAAGAGTGTGGTGCCCACTTTTCGACCGGGGGCCATGGTCCCACTTTTAGCCGGTCCTTTAATGCCATTTTTATATGGATCTGTCCATTAATGGCTGTTGGCTGATGGTTTCATCACAGTAGGTTCCCCTCCACCTTCAAAATTGTTCAGCCGCCATTGATTTGAAATGAAATATCTTGCAAAATACCGTCACTTCCTGTTGCTTTTTCCATGCCGACAGGTGTAATGGTTTGCCCTCGTGTAACATCCAAGCATCGGATGACGTCTTTGGAGATCCTTGCAAGGGCGTCTACAAAAAACTTGACATCACTTATCGATGTGTGGAAAGTAAGTCATAGCTTGAGAAGAATTCTTTAGATAGGCCAGGCGGTACATGGATAAAATGAGGTAGGGTTTAAATCAACCTGCTTCAGCCTGTTATATTACTTGCTTTCTCTCAACTGATGGGTTTTGGTTTACTTTGGAAGACTGCAAATGTACTGTTCTAGACAACTCTTAGGCATTTTGCACAGTTTCATTGAATGCTTTGCATTCTCGGTGTCCTTACCTCCATGAGACACGGCAAATTTTGCCTCCTTCGTGTGTTTGTTTCCTGATTCTGTTAAGCCCCTAACTTGGAGGCTAGTCTTGATACCTGGTGTTGGTTTGTTCTCCCTTCTGACATGTACATCCTTCCCTCTCCTATCAGATCTCACCGCGGCCTCGGCCACCTACCCTTTGACTTATGGCATAGCTACCTTACCTCCTCCGGTTCTCTGCCCTGCCGTCAACCACTCTGGTGTCGTGTGGCGTCCTACTAGGGAAGGCCAGTCTGACGTCCAGAGATGCCCAAATGGGCAAGACGGTAAGGGTACTTCATGGTTATTCTTCATACACGACAGAGGGCGCTGTCTAGCTCATATGCCATAGAGAGGATTGAGAACTAGAGTATCTGATTGTTAATGTTGGGAACCAGTCCATAGTCCAACTTAACAAACTATGTGGTATCATTTTTTCTAACAAAGTATAAAAATATCTTCATTATTATTGGAATTTTTGTTGACGTACAGGGTTAGCCTACTGGCTCTGTGACAGACAGACCCATGGCCAGTGGTCAACAATGGGTCCAGATCTTAGCCGATGTACCTCACCATGGATAAATAATATTTATAAACAGGTAATAAACAGCATTACCACAAAAAGACAACCTTGAATTTGCTTCAGTAAATCACATGGAATAATGACTACTGACTAGAGCATGTTAGTTGGCTAACTTTGTCTTGAAGTGACTTAGTCAAAGAATGGTTGAGTCTTGTGTGTTTACTGGTATCTTAAGTTAATGAACTCCAATAGGCTTGCAGGTTTCTAGAAAGGTATGGAAACTACAAAGCTCAATATTACTAAAAACCCACCAAACCGTTAGCAAAACAAAATAAACTATATCCATGGCATACAGGGATGTACGTGCCAAACTAACTTTGAATGATTATTTTAAAATGATTCTTATGAAAAAATCATTTCTTTTAGTTACAGCAAGTAAATCTTTTGTTTAGTAAAAATGCAAAAAATACTGCGATTCCATGTCTCATTTTTTAAAGAAAAGTTTGATAACAGCTTTGCATTGAATATGGGTGTCATCATATAAACACTATGCTACTTATTATAGTAGTTAAGAGTTATTAGCAGATCGAGTCATGGCATTGCCTAAGTTTTTAGGCCCCACCCTCATCATCATTGTCCATAAGCCCCTCCCCAGTGCAGGCCCATCCACCTTCTGTACGTTCTGGTTTGTTTGCATGTCAGATTGAGAGCGGGTCGGAATCAGCCAGCTTCTTGGCCAAATTGGTGCTGAACAACACAGCAAGCTCAACAGCACAGAACAGGTCAGATGTTAATGATAAATGTAGAATCTATTCTAAACAGCAGTACCGTCCGTTTAAGCCAAATAATGCAGAGTCCTGAAGGAGTCCCCAGTTCACTTTAAGTGATAAGATTCACAGTTGGAATAACACCAGAAAGAACATCAACTCATTCTGAGAATGAGGTTGGTATGTATCTACCTTTCTGTATACAATGTAGCTAATAGAAAAAAATCTGTGAATAAATTTACATAAAGTTATGTATATTTGGCTTTGTCAGCTTGGTTTAAATTACATGAACTCATGCAGAATTAGCAATTTTGTGACATCGTTGCATCATTTTAATTCATAGGCGAAGAAAAGGCATATGGGTTATTCCAGGTATTAGGGGTCCATTTTTTGTGTGTCCCTGTCACATCTGACATATGATTTTGTAAGTTTAGAACACATTTCTAATTTCCAAGAGTGGTGAATTAATGTCAATTACCTGCCATACGAATAGTAATAGTTTGAAATCAATTCTGGTGATATTTCCATGATATATATCTGATATTCTGGTCAGAAATATAACAAGGACACAAAAATGTCAGACTTTTGGACCCCAATTTTCTGGAATTACGCATATCTTTATTTCTGGTTGGAGTTTGTGAAATAGAATGGGAATTTATCTGTTATGGCCATAATTCGCAGGAATTCGATAACGGGATGCCATGCAGTCACTTAAGTAGGTTTTCTTTCTCTACCAACAAATTCATTTCCTCTTGTCTCATATTTAGTGACTTCCAAAAATCATTGTCTTTGATGGATGACCTGCTGAAACTACAAGACAAGCAGCTCTTACGCCTAGACGAAGAGGAACAGCAGTCCACAGTTGAAGCATTCGGGGAGGTAAGTCCCCTTATGCATGCTCGTGAGAGGGCGCTGTAGCTATATTGTGGGCAGTGTTGGGCATGTCAGGGTTGTTGCGTTATTAAGAAGAGAAGCACAGCTAGTGCCACTGTTTGCAACATTCCCAGGGGAACTTAGGCACACTAATTAGTGTGTGGAGCTTGAATGTTTAAAACTCGGATACTTCTTCCAAAATTTTTAAAAGGTGTATGCATTTTGGTTGGTCAGGGCTAAAACCGTCTGCCTTTTAGCAATTGCTCACCTGTTTCTGTATATGTGACCTTGTAATGTGAACCTAGTATACTCATTTTTGATGTCATAAATGACTATAAATGACTCCCTTAGGGTGGGGGAAGCGGTGAGTGTCCATAGCTGACCTTGATTTGTACATTATGCCACATCCATTACCAGGAGATATGCAATGTATTCCAATCCAGGTTTATAGGACACTTACCTCAACAACAGGATCAGTCAGAGTCTGAGAACGCACTTTTGTTGAAAGGCAATTAGGTGCTCAGATGATCAACAGCACAATCTAGTTCATGTTTTATTCATGTTGGAGCGGCATTTAAGAGTTGAGGAATACGATGTCGTACAGTATTCTCAGACGACATTTTGGTAATTTTTCTTTTGTCACTGACTCCAGAAAGTTAAGATGATTGTTAACGCCATCCAGGCATAAATGAAAACGTAGCAGGCTGCCTTGACAGTCTGTGGTTTTATAGCAAATTTCACATTTGTTGGCAGAGATATATATAATTAGGGATCATGTAATTGACAGTTGTTAATTGCTGTGGATGTGTTAACTGCCGGGTATTAAGCCCACAGTGCCATTCAGGTCTCGGCTATAGGCCGGGGACACAAGCAGTTTCTTAATTGTGGAAAATATTTCATTTTGAAAATTTGAGACCTTTCTCAGAATTGGCTCTACGTACACAGATTGGTCACCCACAAACATAACTGTATTCTACAATTACCACAGTCATTCCATACAAAGCTTTGAGCACACTTCACCTTTTCTTTTTGTCAAATGCTTTGTCTTTAATTTTGAACCCAAGAGAACCAGTTTTCTTTCCAACTTCTCACTGCTGCAGATATTGGGAAACTTAATTTACTTTTGACAGAAATGCATCTGAACATTTGACCTTAAGTTCTAAGGGACAGATTGTTCCAAGTGTTATGGTCAACACATATTGCGACACATCAATTGAACTCTCTTATAAAAAAAATCTAATAAAATGGATTGACTGATTGGGGGGGGCAAATATGTTAGAGTTTCAATTCATTGAAAAAGAGGAGAAACTGGAAGAAAAAAAAAGCATATCCATTGAAAAAATCGTTACAAAAAATTTCTGTTCAATTTCTGTATTTTGGTTTAGATCGTAATTAAATTTGGAAGTAATGTCTTGGACTCTGACAAGCAGGACACCTGGGCCTCACTGACTGCGGTAAGCAAATTTCAGCATATGTAAACTTTAATTCTAACTTAATTTTTTCCCGCCAACTAATAGCCGAAATGGTATTTGTGTTTTCTTATGATACATGTCTCAATTTTTTTATGGATTATTTTTGACTTGTCCCATCTAAGGGCCTTGTTTAGGATCTTTCGTTTGGCTTTTGCAGTATTTTTGACCCATTATATTCTTCAGTTTGAGATAATGTTTCATGTGCATGTTCATCAGTTCATCAAGGATCACGGGTTTCAATTGTTTTCAGTGAACAGGAAGCATTTCTATGGGTTCTCGTCAAACAGTCTGGCTTGTTGTTTTGCATTTTCTAGAATGATGGTTCGTCGGAATCGTCGGCAGCTGTGACTCCTACTGACGTTACTGAAAACCTGGAAAATACAGGTTTCCTAGTGGCTCAGTATCTCGGCCCGGACAAGAGCCATGTCACTATTCACTCAGAGAACATATGTAAGAATGGTTCTCTCTTATATCTTTTTAACCTTGAGAGACCTGTAGCAGGCATGGGGCAGGTGCTCTCAACATTTTCTCCAGTATCATTGCTCTAATACGGTACTACGTTTTGTCATGTGCTAAGTCTAAAGCTCAGTTTTTCTCTTATGATTACACAGGCATATGAAGATACTGACCGTACCATGTCTTGGTAACTAGAGCCAATCAACAATTATAACCATCATTCCCATTCTCAGTTACCCAGGATTAGTCAAGTTTGACTTCATTTGTTTCAGAAGACCGGTTTAATGGATTGTGCCTGTAACTTTCAGTATAAACTTCACTTCGATCATCTGTTGTCTCCTAGTGATGGCTGTGGAGGTAGTGCCTAAGGAGAAGACAGGAAAAGCTGTTTACTTTCAGGACACGAGGAAGACTGACGATGGAACCAACAGTGTGCGGCATACCATCACCTTGCCACCTTCTGCTACTAACATCACAGGCATAGGTAGAAACACAAACTGTGAAAAACCAAGTGCAGTATTGATGAGCGTTGAATGAAATATCCTTGTTCCTATACATTTCATCTGCTGGATTTATGTTGAACCAGCCAGATGTATCATGCCAAAATAATGAAAGAGCAAATGAAAATGAATATTCATTACTTGCAGTTATCTGTGTCGCTGAAATTTTAAACACCCGTTTAATGTTGATTTTCCACGACAGGTTCAACCCAGGTAGTCTTCTTAGTCTATGAAAGCCTTGGGGAATACCTCACAGACACTGCTATTGACGAGGGCGTGCAAGGGATCAGAGGGTAGGAATAATTATGTCATTGTGTGTGGGTGTCACGGTTGCAATTAATGTGGTAGAAACACAAGCACTTATTCAACATTTAGCTCCAGTACTGTGTGCCAACTTGCAGCATCTCATGTCAAGATTACTCAGGTTTGAACACTTATCATGCCTCCGTACCATTTTGCACTAGCAATCCAGTCAGAATCCACAATGCTGGTCCACAAAAGGCCATGTTTTAAAACTCAGCTGTGACCAGAAACAATACACACAGCTATGGATGTCACTGTTTAGTTACATCAGTCATTTCCCATGGGAACTTATTACATTACAGCTTTTTGCTAACTGTTTTCAGCTTTAATTTTGAGTGACCACTAACACCCATGGTAGTTGATACCACAAAGAAGGAGGATTTTGGATGCTGCCTAAAAACCCACATTATGTCTGCTATTTGCCAAGTTCTAGGGTTTAATAAAAATCAATCTTGTGCCTGGCCAAAGCTCAAGTTGCAAAGCCAATTAACAGTGTCTTTATTGGAGTGATATTCTGAATTCAGTGATTTCTGTAGCTTTTATTGTAACTTGTGTAAATTACAAAACATACTCCTTTGTTGCTTGTTTGGTCGTGACTTCTTTCAAACTGTTGATTCTTTGTTACTGTTCATCTCTCAACTGTAGGTCTTTGAACGAGAGTGACTATGCATTAGATAACAAGACTGATGGTTCCATTGGCCTGATGTTGAATTCAGCTGTGGTATCTGCCTCTGCCAAAAAACATGAGGAACAGCTCACAACGTTTGAAAATGAGGAAGAAATCCAACTGACAATAAAACATGCCTTGGTAAGACGTGGTGCTCCTCACGAATTGTTGGAATTATCAACTTCATTTCAACCAGCCAGAAAGATTCAAAAGCATATTCTTCAATGACAGCCCACTTGAAGTACTAGATGCTCCCATTTTAACGCGGAATTAAAAAATTGTGTGAATCTTGGAACGGCAAAGTTTTTCGAGATGAAGATTTTTTTTTCCCTTTCAGCCAAACATAACTGGAAATGTGACTTGCGTTTTCTGGAATACATCAAAAAGGTAAGCTTTATGATGCAATATCTGAGGCTGTTTACCTGTTTATATTTAATTATTGAAATCAACATGGCACAGGGCGTTTTGCAGGTTGGGGCAGAATGGGTCTGGTGAACCACTTGCTGCCAGGTGTAATGTGGAGTTGCTTGACGTAAAACTGGGTGATTTTCAAGATTTTCCATTTTCAAAATTCTTTAAAAGATCATATATAGCTTCATTTACTGGACGTTTACACCTACATGAATGACTGTCTGGTGGCTACTCTAATCTGACAGACATGTCTATTGACGCCCGAGTATTTCAGCCAGGTGCCTGCCGCCTTGTAAAAAGAGCCCAGATTGTGCGGTGTTATGTGATTGTCTTTTGTTCCCCAAACTGGCCCAGTGCGTTACTGGTGTCTTTTCAGTAGGGGCGAGATTAGCGTGCAGCAGTATTGTATCGCTCATCACTGGAACGATGGAGCACTTTTGTCCCCGGTGGTAATCCGCTCGTGCTGAATGCCACAAACAGTGGTATAATCTTTTTCCTCCGCTATTGACAACTGAAAAAAATGTTGGTAATTTCCAGCAGGTCGGTCTTTTGTTCAAAGTACGGTCTTTTGTCACAAGGCCCAGCTCTTTTGTCCGATTTCGGGCTCCCCGACTGTGCGTATAAAGAATACGTACCTGAAACCGGGCTCCCCGGCAGCATACAGTTTAAATTGATTAAATTAAATTAACCTTGAATTAGGTTATGACTGAGTTGATTTCAGTGACATTTGGGTGTGTTTTATATGGTGGTCAAACTTTTTAACATCAAGGGGATATTTGTTTGGTCATGTGGTGAGTCATTTGTTCTGCAAGAATTAACTTTGGATTTGTTTGTAAGCAACTGCCATCTTGATTGCCAGGATTCTGTGCAGTAACCAAACAAATTCTTTGCTCACAGCTTAGGGAAGAGCGGTGCCTGGTCTAACAATGGATGTCGACTGGTTTCCAGTAACCTTACTCACAGCATCTGTGCATGTAATCACCTGACAAACTTTGCCATTCTCATGGACGTCACCGGTACCCACACGACGGTCAGTTTAAAATGCATTACCAAAAACTTCAGGTTGATTTCTGATTCCATACCATCAAAATCAGATGGAAAACTGATTTTTGCTTCTCTTTTATTTCAGATTGCCCCGGTCCACGAGAAAATACTGACAGTTTTAACATATGTCGGTTGTGCCGTTTCCATCGTCTGTTTGTTGTTGTCTTTTTGTGCGTTTACATTTTTCAAGTAAGTAGATTCGATCCCACCATTCGAAAAATGTTTATGTGGGCACTTCATGCAGGTTAATTTAGTAATGCAAATAGTTCACTGTACTCTTGGTTGGGAGTTGAAACCTAGGACTTTCTGCCAAGATGTCTGCATTATTCAGACGCATTTCTCAGAAGTTGTTGTCAGAGAGTGTGGAACATACTAGCTATACAGCTAGTATTAAATTCCTGTTATTAAAACAATTAAAAACAGTTGTCTTTAGATATTTTTACAAAAAAACGTTCAGAAATGAACAGATATCCTGAGAGAACTTCTTGAATTTAAAGGCATTTTAAACGGTGTTATCTTAGCAACTATAAACCAGCCAGTCTCTAAAGAACTGAAATTGTTAATTTGCTAAAAATTCAAAGGTGTTCACTGAATTCCTTCCCACAAAATGTCTAGGATTTCACACCAATACTTGTTATTTGGTTTTATTTCCAATAGAAATATTTGGAGTTTACGAGTGACCATCCATCGTAATCTATGCTTCATGCTCCTAGTTGCCAATGCATTGTTTGTCGCAGGTGTGGAACAAACACAAATAAAGGTACAAGAAGGAGCCTTTGTTCTTCATCAGTAAAAAGAGAACAATGAAACGCCCTGTAAACATTAAAATAAATCTGTTTGGTGGTTCTAATTTAATACTCAACCATGTTTGCTGTACTTCTTATGAGCATGCAAAAGGAAAATCTCTGACTATGATGGGATACGAAGAAAATTATAAAATGACACGTGATCCACCATTCCTAAATCAAGCTGAAGGTTTCTTAGCTGTTACATGACCAATGAAAATTGCATAGCTTTCACTGCCTGTAACTACCAAAGCTTTCTGTAGAGAAAAGTTTCACTGTGGGTCACCTTTATGTATGGAAATATACAGCGAGAGAAAGGAGTTGTCAAACACTAACAGCGAGAGAGAGGAGTTGTCAGACACTAACTTCAGCTACTTCAGCCTGGTTTTGGACTGATGGGTTACAAGTGTCATGTGGCGATGGTTTGAGCAATTGATAACAGACACAAAACTTATATTCCAGACTGGTTTTCAGAAGGCAAAGCCCCCTTCCTAACCACCACAACAGAATTTTGTTGAGCTAAGGAAATATTTGATTCATTATGTGCTCTGCATTTCTTGCTTCTGCTGAATTTGGCTATTTATGGTGCTAACCAGAATGAAATCCCATCCTAATATCATACTTTTTCATGAGCAATAAATCATTTCTTGGGGTTGGCATGTTCAACCTTGTAGACGTTGTGTTCAGTGATCGCTGGTCTGCTGCAGTACTCCTTTCTCTCTGCCTTTGTCTGGATGTCTCTTGAAGCCGTTCAGTTCTACATCATGCTGGTCCACGTGTTCTCCACCCAGTCTCGGCGCTGGCCTTACTACCTTGCTGGATACGGTGAGGCCACACGACGGCTTGAACGGAGACTACAAGTACATGTAGCTCTGCAATTTATTCAGCCAGTTTCCAGTTTCACTCTGATTTACTGAAAGGTCCCTATATTTCCAGACTGCAAATTGCACAGCGTACAGTACCCACACTGACCACGGTAAAGGTAGCATTAGTTGTAGAGGTTTGCGATAGCACAATGCAAGGATGTCTCTTGCTGAGCATGTGTCCGTTGGCAGTCCTCTGACGACAGACAGATCATGTAGGCCGAAACGTTGCTGAGTACCCTCCGGTTCTCTTTAGATCCACACATGCTCAGAAAGAAATATTCTTGCATTGTACCACTGCAAAGCTCTCTAACTAACATATTCGGCCTGTACCCAAACAGCGTACAAACCCAAAGGCAGTATTTTCCCACCAAAGAGACAATGTTGCACTCGACTTTAGGTTGTTTTTGATAATTCTGTCAAAAAAGACAAAAGGTACATTTCCAAAAAGTTTTCCACAACTCAAGTTTGAAATGTCCTTTATTCTGTCAGGTATTCCAGCAATTGTTGTAGGTGTTTCTGCTGGCATTAACCACTCTGGATACGGGACAGACAGATAGTAAGTCATCAAGATTTTTATATTGAAATCATCATCTTCCACATTCATCATTAATATCAGCAAGGGTTTGAATCAGTTTGAAATCCAACTAATTTAAGAAAGATGTTGTTGTTCTTAACACTCAGATGGACTTCTTACTTCAGCTGTTTCCTTAAGACAGGTCCACAACAGCTGTCAATATCCTGTAATCAACCTGTTGTGTCTCAAGGATTAATACATCTGATAGTTAATTTCACTGTATTGGGCCACTTGATTTTTCAGCTGTTGGTTGACGACAGATGACTCTTTTATCTGGAGTTTTACTGGACCAGTTGCTATCATCATTGCTGTAAGTTGGAATTATAAGACTATGACCCATAACGTGTTTCTCCATGGACAAGTGTCTTTTTGTAGGTTGAGCATTGTATGAACTTAGACAACTAAGTCGGGCAGTTTCCGGAGTGTGGAGAAAGTATGATCATTAATTGTTTGTGCACAATTGTGTGATAATTTGGCCTCTGGAATGTCCTGTGGTGCGTCTGCATCACTTGGTTTGGGCTACAATTTTGTATTTTTTCATTTAAACATAATTCTGCCCCTTTTTCATCCGACAAAGATCTTTTGGCCCAAAAGACAACACTCCTTGCTTGTAATCTAATCCCAAACTATGATTTAGATTCTGAAAATCTGAAATATTTGTCTTGAACATGACTTTTATACAAAAAACTTAAAATTCTGCATATTGGCCTCTTATCATAAAAAGCCAAAAGTAAAAAAACCCAAAGTTGCAGGTGATCAAATTGATTTTTCCATCTTGTAACTTTTAAATCTTTGGATACATTATCTATCAATGCATAGAAGTGCTTTAACTCTTTCAATTATCTTTGTGACAGGTGAATCTTGTGTTGTTGGTAGTTTCCCTTCGCATTGCCTACTCCTCTAGATCATCAATCAACAAAGGAATCACTCAGAATGACATCAGGTAAATAAAAGGTTTCTTAGATTTCACCCTTCAAAAATGGCAAAAGAAACTTTGGGACAAAGAGATAACTACATGAATATAACGGCCTCAATCTTTTATGGAAATGTTTTTCTGACTCATAGTTTTAAAAGTGAATTTAATTTTGTGAAAATACGTGAGAACGGTGAATTTCATCATTTCTACATTCATTTTTGAGTGGTCTCTCCTTACTGTATATGCTTCCGTTTGAAATAAGTTATGATCAAGTTTACACGACCTTTTCATAGATTCAGTTGAAGTTGATTTTGTAGCTAAAATTTGTATCTACCTTATGAAGCAGAAATTTGAGAGTTAAATGGGCTAAACGATTTTGCATAATAGGCCGTGGATCAAGGGAGCGACAACTCTTCTTTTCCTCCTTGGCATTACCTGGGGAATCGGTTTCTTTTTCATCAACCAACAATCCTTGGTTATGGCTTACATCTTCACCATTCTCAATTCATTACAGGTAAAAACACGGATATTGAGGTTTTTCATGTGAGGACATTTGACAGGCAAAGGCAGTACAGGAAGCGTTTCAAGTCCGCAGCGCCATGCGCATTCTTGAAACTACATTTTTCAGTTAGTAATTCCATGTATGCCAGAATGCTAGGAGACTTTGAAGGCACGCACATTTCCACGCACATGGGCATGTACATGAATATTGAACACAGACCGTCAAAAATCATGTGACTGAAAAACCTCCATATTCAGAAATTGAAATTGGAATATTTTAAATTTCGATACTAAGCTTGAGTGAACCCCTGTCACCTGATTGGTGGATTAATGATCGTGTGTCATGAATGATTTATCCCAGTTCATGGGTCAGCCACACTACCAAAAATGGAATGTTCCATTCAGCAGGTGAATGAATCAATTAAATTTCCATCCGTCCCCACAAACTGGAGCTCTTCACTCAAAATAGGCGATGGGGGATCTGCTCAGTGGGGATATTTTCCTGAGTTTTATCATCCCCTGTTTAAAACAAATAATGAATTTTTCACTGGTGTAAAAATGGAAAGAACACGTTCATTCTTTGGCAGATGGAATGTTCCATTGCCATGAGAGCCAAGTAGAATAGAACATTTTATCTTTGAAGATAAAATCTTCTCACTGCCCTCAACATTTCTTGTTAGTATAATGGGGATGCCAAGCTGGACCAAGAGGGGGCGCAATTTTCCTTGCAACAGAGGCTCCTTTGGTAGTAAACCAATGTGGCTCTTCTCAACTGATGAGGGGGTGCTTCTGCTTCAAGGTGCAAACCTGTATATTTGTGAGATAAGCATAGCCTATTAATTCAGAGTGGATACCAATGATATCTTCTTTTCCAGGGACTTTTCATCTTCATTTTCTATTGCCTCGGCAATGAGCGAGTGAACTCAGAGCTGCGGAAGTTCCTGAATCGCCAGGAATGGCTGCCAGCTTGCATCAGGAAGCGATACGGGAGGGACACCACCTCAAGCCACAGCTGGGTATTAAAGTCATCTCTGGTGTTTTGTTCTCCAAACCAAAAAATAGTCAAATTACCAGGTATAATTGATGTATAAGTTGATGAAAAGAATAGCAAGTAAGAATTGTAGGTTGCTTCATAAAACAGCAGTCACAAAAAGACTGTGAAGACTAATTTCATGCTTTCCATGAAATATTTCCCTTTTTATCCCTTCCAGAGTCAGAAAGGGGCTACCATAGCCCGTCGTCAGACACGCCGCCATGAAGAATACCGCAGTACGTGGGCTTTCAGTAAATCTGTAGCAGATTATTAATAAATTGGATTTTTCTCTGAAATCTAATTTTCCTCCAAATTTGGAGAAGAAAGTACAAAGAAAAGGAGCAATAGGATTACTTTGCAATTGTGTGAAAATCTGGTAAAAAAGTGACATTTCCTTAAAAAATCTACAACAGTACTTTTCAGGAAAATGTTTATTTTATGTATGTCAGATTTTATGGAGAATGGATTTTCTCAGAAACTCTCCAACTTAAGGAACATGTGCATGTATGCATTGGGTGAAAATTGCCTTCCTCTCTCTCCGACATGGAATTTCAAGGCCAACAAGTTTTTATCTCCCTTGTATTTTTGTTGCAAAAACTGTTCAAGTAAGATTAGATTCACATTACGTAAATTAAGGACTACATTATCAGTCTTGTACGGTACACCATTTCCTCTCTTATCTCCGCTCTCATTTCACAAAAACAGACAAATCTGCCGTGACAATCCAGAGCGAGAGTGCTCCTCCGACACCTCTAGAACACATGTACCAGGACACCAACCCTGTCATCACTGTCAAGCTGGTGGACGAAGACGACAACGAAGGCACCAACACAGAGACCGAGACCACCAACGTGGCATTTGACACTGACAGCTTGGCCGAAACAACCACCATAGCAGACACAAGCCAGAGCGGGCGTTCTTGGCTACACAGCGCTACAAATACAGCTGGTGCTGGGAACAAAACAGGAAGCGGTAATCGGTACCCAACCATCAATCATGAGTAATTCAATGCAGTAGGCTTTTTGATTCCAAATCACTTCACATGCCAAAGTTGACTTGGACAAATCAAGTCTTTTCTATGTTACCATGGTGACATTTCCATTTTAGTTCTCAACTCCTTGACCTTTCTTTGGTCACAAAATGAGATTGATAGTACAGCATTAAAAATCTAACCTACAAAATGTAAAAAAACCAGTGGTTAAAAAACATCTATCAACACACTGTCCGTCAGTAATACCGTCATAAAGTGACAAAATGTTCCTTATTTGACGACGTTGCTAACTGGAGTAATTCCATTGGTTTCTGTGTCAGTCTGTTGAACCGAATGCCATATCTGCTCAAGAAACGGATCAACAGATGTTGTCTTTGGCAGAAACTGCACTGCCCTTCAACTGTCAATGTCTACGCATGTAAAAATAACATTCTTTGAAGCTGCTTGAGTGGTCGTCATGTGACATGTATTGGTGAATATAACATTTATGTAGCAGACTTTGCATGAGATAAATATTGATTTACCACACAGTAGTTTAGCTGATAACGACAAGTTCCAAGCACTTTTTTCAAAGGTTTCGCAATGCTTTATTTGACATCTATAGCTTGCATACACAGAGTTCCTAAATTGGCATAAATCAATCTTGTGTAATGCAGGACTGTGAAAGAAGTACATAAGACTTGAACGAAATTTGCTTTAGACTACTAAATACAACAGAAACATATTTCATCCAATCAATGAGCAGCACTAGACTACCAAAGATGATTGTCTTATAGTTTATTGATGTGTCAACAAAAACGTGTAATTGTGCTTTTTTCACTTTCAGCTAAGTTCCTGGAGTAAGAAGTTTAAAGACAGCTTTAAAAAAAAAAGTTTGAGCAATAAACATTTTAGAATGTAGTTTATGCTATTAGAAATTTTATATTTTACAAAATCGTCCTTATGTGTCCAATATGGACTTTTGATGTTTGTAAATCTCACATTGCTTGCTTATTATTATGAAATTAATAGATAGATTTAGCTCTGTATTTAATTATTCTAAAAGGAATACACTTGTCAGAACAAACAGGTCACGTTCCCTGTTAAATTCATCAGGCTGTTCAATGCCAAGGATCACAAGCTGCTGAGAACGGTAAGTCCGCTTCCAAAGTTTTCACCTTGTCAGAAAAATCAGAGGAACACATTACCATGACTGAGAAAAAAACCATAAACCCTCCTTTAGATTTACAGCACAAGGTCACTCTCTTGCATGCTGGTGCAGTGCACAACACAACACAGCTGTGCTTCTTTGAGGTGTTTACCAAGTGACCCAAAGAGTGACTTCAGCATAGGAGGGTTAAATAGAGTTGACGTCATTTTCTGTTTACATGTACACTTTCCCGTGGGGGCTCGGTGGATCGCATCCCACGTTACTGCCACAGAAAAGTGTACATGTAAACAAAGCCGACGTCATTATGGCGTAGGTCTATTTATCATAATTATCAAATTAAGAAAATTAATTTCCACATCAGCACCAATGTACTACGCTAAAACTGGCAACATGCAGTAAGGAATAGGCAACATGCTGGCACTCTGCTTGGAAAAATACAATTATTGAATGATGAGAACCTTAAACTCTATTCATGTAGTTTTGTAGCTAGCCACGTTAAAACTTCGAGGAATTTGAAAGAAAAAAAATACGACTGATGAGAAATCCTTGAGATTGTACATCTCAAACCATCACCTCGCCAACAAATATTCGTGGGACAGGCAAACACTGGTGATCCCAGTCAATGGAAAAAAAACAATAGGTAATTCCATCGTGAAAAGACAAACTTTTTGATTTTACTTTTATGACGCAGTTTCTGTAACACTCCTGACAGCTTTGAGCTCTAAATCTGAATAATCTTGGCGCAAACAAGATGCTTGCCTAGTGCATGCTACCAATAATTACAGTATAAAAGTACAAGAAGGAATAAGCCTGCGATCACTAGCTAATGCTGGATTGAAAATAAATCAGAAAACTATTTTCCCGACAAACAAAACCAAACTTCAAACCAAAGAGAACCTCCTAATAGCCAAGGAAAATCAATTCATCGGGCTTCAAACAGCCAAAATCATCTCCTACTAACAACACTGATCTGTATCCGTTCTCAACATATGTACTTATTATTAAATGGTTTTGTTAAAAACATTTGTTTTTTTCATTGTAACAGTGAAATCTACAGCACTTTTATTACATCAGAGATTAACTTCTACCAATATACAATCATACCTAGGTCCTGCCAGCGCTAATGTATATTTCAAGTGCTTTTAGCGTACCATACTAACAGCAATTATATTGTTTGGTTTTTTAATAAGGCCAGCTTATCAACAAATTTACAACACTTTTTCTTTCAGTAACTTAATAGTATAATTTACAATTATTTCATTCTATCACAAGGAATGATCTATTTCAAACATGTAGGCATTTCAGCCCACATACTGGTAGTTAACAAAAGAATCAAACTCAAATTTTAGTTACCGTATGTTCTGAAAAAGAATGTAAAATGAAAGAATTGATTTTTTTTCTTCTTTTTTAAATGTGCAGAAATCATATCACAGCAAACAAAACTTAAAACTTCAAAAACAACAAAACCTCACTCCTCCGCTCTAAACTAGTTACACCAATCTGAAATTCTCTTCAGAAATCAACGACTTCACAGTTTGAGAACTCAAATCTTAGTGGTTAAATACCCTGCTCCCAAAGGCTACAGCACCACTGCGTTTCTAAAGAAAAGGGCATTTTATGGTTCAAAACCTTCATTATGGGATATACCACCTGGGTTGCAGGTATCTCCTTTATGAGACAGTAAGGATTACTCACATCAGAGTGAACTCAGTGAGTGGCTAATCAGCTAAACCAGAAGTTATCCAACCCCTGTAGCAAGAATTTCCAAAGTCACTAGACCTTTAACACTGTGTTCTCCAGCTTGCCCTGGGGGCAATGCCGTGAATTTCAGACCTACGTTCAGCTGGTGGTTTTTTTTTTAACATGTTGACGTAGAGATTACGAGAATCACAGATCCGATGATGACGAGTTGAGAAGTACAAAACTGAAAAGTCAGGTGGAAAAACTCAAAGGAAAAAACTTGTAGAACAGCACGCACAAAGTAGGGTCAAATGAAACTTAGCTACAGGATCAGTACTTGATTTATAAGGGTGCAATTCAAGGTAATGCAGCTGGATTGAAGGACTTGAAGCTGTTCCACGTTCTCTAGTCACCTCCTTCGGGAGTTGACGTGGACCAGCTTGGCTAAGCTTTCTTGTATACATCTTTGCATATATACATACACAGTACACATTTACACACAGTATGGACAATTTGGAAGTGGGTCCACTGTTGGAGTTTACACGATTTGTCTCATCACAAAACTCGCAAAGGTACATGTACACTGCAGAAGCTACTGCATACGACTAGGAACCTTCTTTACCTTTGGATCACGAAACCGTTGCGTAATTACTGTGACCATGGGAAATTCCACAGCTCTCACAGACCAAATGTACATTTCTCTAAAGGAAGTGATTATTGTACTCACTTCATGTAGCTTCACAGCTGCTTACAAGTTCTGACAAGCCTGATTCAGTACTCACTGGCTGTCACTTGGTGGCTGCGAACAAGGCAAAAAAACCCTGGACTTGTGCCACACAGCATCACTAGAAGCAGTGATGGTCCTCTAAGCCCAAAGCTAAGGAAAGACTGGATGTGATTATTACAACACAGAAGGGCTTTCTCACACATGGTGCTCACAGATGCAGCTGCAGTTACTCCATTTTACTCCACTGTCAAATCGTTCAAGTACAGTAATGACGACCGTTCAGGAGTAACTTGTGAGTTCTCGCTCCACTGATCATATGAGCGTCTCTCGCCTGGGAGACAAACTAGTGATACCCAGGAATTCCACATCACCAGAGTTGTCATCGGCGACGTCAACTTCGTCGGGCGGTTTCTGCTCATCCAGAGGTGACCAGTGACCAGCACGCTGGGAATCACTGTTCATGCGTGTGATTTTGGTCCGTAGAAAACGGGGTGATCGTGGCAGCTCGGGCAGGCTGCCTTTCTTGTCAGCTTTGGCGGGCTGGCTGAGCCCGCCAGCTGGCGGGGGTTGAGCTAGATCCGGGAGACTGGTGAAGTTGCCACTCTTGGGTGGCCGGTAGGAGGGTGGGGAAAGCTGACGGTACAACGGTAAGGGCTGGCGTTTCTCTGGAGATGGCGGTGGCTCCCTCGGGGAGTCGAGCAGTGGACGGACCTCAGCAGGGCTCGCTGGCAAGTCCCGATCCTCACGGCTTCGCTTCGGGGTTGGGGAAGGGGTGCCTTTGGCCACCTGAGCAAGCTCTAGCTGTCCATCCTCCATCTCAAGACCAATGCCTTCATCTGACAAACGCTGGTGTCCGTCCTTAGTTTCTGGTACAGATGCTGTGAATCGCACCGGTATAAACTCACCTAATGGACAAAAACAAAAAGTATTTGACATTGTTTTCCATTTCAATGTAAAATTACAAAGAATGAAGCTTCTTCAGTCTTCCTTCCCAAACTCTTCCTTCCCAAACTCCACTAATTCACGGCCAAAGATATCAAATGCTGCAACATATAACAGACTCTTTGCTACATATATCTACAGGTCTCCACAATGTGTGCATCTTTTGATTTCAAGACTGAAAAACCAATTACTTTCTTTGCATTACTTTGCTGATGACCAAACTAGAGTTAACGGTGGACTTGCATGTACACGTATGGATGTTGTGCTGCCTGGTGATCACGTGATGCTAGACTCTCCTCATGCAGTCAGTATAAAACTGCTAACCATGCAAAAAAATCCTAATTTTTGTTTCCTTCAAAATATTCTCAAATCTTGCCACAATTCACTGCACTTGGGTTTTCTAGCACAAGCTTAACCTCACAGTAAGAAACCTGTATTTTAAACTGTTCACAAACTGGGAAAGGACAGAAAAACACGAAACACTACAACAATGACACATTGAAGAAAAACCCAGTGAGTTAAACAGCATGCAAAGTCTGAATATAACTAGGCACAACCCACATTCTGTTCCTCATGGTGTTACAGAAAGAAAAACAGCTACGATTCCAGGCACCCTGGACGAAGTTTAATCCACAACACTGTCTGAACCTCTCTGTTTACATCTTCCAAGAAAATTGGTTAAGATAAAAGAAGCTACCCCTTGAAACTTTTATGAAAAGATCATGCAACAGTCAGTCAAAGAACAGGGAGTAGACAATCAGAACTTCAATAAGGATTTTGAAACATCCAAATGTTGGCCCTAAGAGCACTCAAACATTAGAAGACACACATGAAAAAGCCTGCAGTCATGAAGGTGAGAGATCAAAAGTCCAATGTAATTCTCGTTGGTCCAGAGGTGAAGCTGACAAAGACATTATGAGGTTATACCCAGTACATGTATTTCTCATGCAATGTATTAATAAAGCCGTGGTTAACGATGTAACTCGGCAAAGACAATACATTTTAATTAATTGCCGAGCAGTGTAAAGTATTTCCGTTAACCCTATCCCCGCTAGACACCACAAATGACCACATTACTGATACCACATATCGGCACATGTTACTTTGAAGGCAAAGTTCAACCTTGACACCAGACTATGTGTACGCCCTAGCTACAGTAAGGCAGTACCATGCGCAGGTCTGCATTTAATGTACGCGCATGTCAGGAAAAAAATGAGAAAATTCCAAGCTAAGCCAAATGCTTTCTGAATTTGTAAAACCTTCACGAGACGCAACGAAATGAGGAAATTGGCTGATCCAATGTCGCATGCCTCAAGTGGTAATAGCTACAACGTCAGGAAGATAATCGTTAGTCGTCAGATCACTGTGCATTGGTCTATTGTAGCGGTGCTTAAACACAGCTGTGGTATTTTGTGGTGCTATGCCAGGTGGTCCATAACCACCTAATGATCAGGGCAAGGGTTAACAGGGTTGTTCTGGGGTCTACTTCACATTTTAATTGATCCTGGGCACGGCGTTGCTGGATTTATTCTGTCTACACAGATGAAGCATACTGGACAGCACTGGGGCGGATACAGGAACCTGCCAGTGGACAAACACGGTGGGGGAGGCAAAGGAAGGAGGGGAGGGATGTCAGAAATGCAACCAATGAAAAACCTTTGGAAGGGAAATACAGAAAAGAAGGCAGTTTCCACCAGCTTCCTTTTCTTGCATTGGAAGGATGTTTATTGGTCCTAAAACAATGTTTTAAAACTAATTGAAAAAAAAAAGAACAGCTCCTCACTTTTTTGATCGTTATTCCCCCTTCACTAATTCTTTAAAAATTTGCTGGTAAATCACAAATTTGGAAATGTGAATTGGTTTACCTTTGCTTAACTTTGTACACAACCACCATAGTGGCTCTGAAAAGTACAATCTTTTAGAAAGGTTGAAATTAGAATGTTGAAAGATGTTTTTTGTCAATGAATATACTGTAAGTAGGCACTTAAAAATTATCTCACTGTAAGACAGTCGCTCTGACTTCACTGTAAAACAGCCGCTCTGACTTCACTGTAAAACAGCCACTCTGACTTCACTGTAAAACAGCCGCTCTGACC